GGGGTGAGGAGTAAAGGAAACACCCTGGAGGGCGCTCGAACAAGTTGTGGTAACGCTGGAAGCGGGGTTCAGACGGCGCAACAGCATCCGCGACCAAGAACCAATTAAGAAGGCCTGAGATTGAATGATATGGTGAGAATAAGGGGTGGTAGGATAGGTACAGAACATGGGTGAAGAAGGTAAGCTGGACAATGCACAAATCTGAGTAGTATGGCAGAGGCGAAAACGAAGCCCGAAGAAGGTGACAGGTAGAGTCGGCGCGTAAAGTTATATGTATAGGGAGGGATTGAAGCGGTAGAAAATAGATGTATGTATATATGCGACCATTCGTATGAGAGGAACAATAGACGGTCTCCAACAGGTAAAAAATAAAATGCATACTCGAGGAAAAGATGCTAGATTGAAAAATATAAAAACTACCGCTCAGCGAGGGCGCCCGTTGTAGTATAAGCAAACCCATGGGACGTAAAGTACAGAGTTGCCAAAAGGCATACATAGTTATGGGCGGTTGATTACATAATTCAGTTCAGGGAGGCAGGTTAAAACATTACACCGACTCCTGAGACAAGTAGGGGCGGAGAGGGGACTGCCGTGGGTGGATAGATGAATACGCTGAGCAGGAAAGAGAAGGATAGACTTTGGTGCATCGAACAGTATCACGTACATAAGAATAGCAGTGATAATGACGCCAGTGGTATTATTAACATTAAAGTAGTCATATTTGGCATAGGTTAGATACGCAAAAAATGGATAAAAACATTGACTCACAAATTTGGCCGTGTATCTAATCAGGCGCTGTGAAGAGGTGGCCGCATTAGTACAACACACCCCGGTGCTTTGGCGCGATCCAAAAAGGAGACATGTAGGGGAGACAGGTGAGGGCAAACCAAGAAAAAAGGACATCAATGGCATAGCGTGAGGCAGGAGCTAATGTTAATGCTGGCGGATGTGGGGGCGCAAGTAGCTCGGTTTGGCAGTGCCATGTAAACGGCAACAGGTGGGTCGGAGGCCTTCTGCAGGCGATCCGAGGCGCATGGAACTGGCAAAAGGCAGGAAAGATACCTATTCGGTGATTTAGCGGCCTTCCCGAGGGCAACCCAACTCACGAGACAAAGTGAAACCCAATTCATCCACGGGGTTGGTTGGGGAGGGAGAGGGGTGTGGGCGGAAGTGGACGGAAGGTGCCAAAGCGGGGCTGGCACCCTAAATCGGCGGCGGAAACAGGCCAGCAGTCCCTGGTTTGATCGCATACATGATACCTGAGTCTGCTATATTAGCAGTTGGACCTTGTCATGTAGCAGAGATGAAGGGGAACAAAGTAAGGGAGGGGGGGGATTGAAAAGCTTCGTCAATGGAGTTGCAAAGGCGCCAGGCGAGGACTGATGCTCAAGAGCCCTCAGGAAACAGCAGCCGACTCCCGATTATGCGTTTGGGCTGAGTGTGGTAAGGTGTGATAACGGCAGTCTGTGGAGCTCAGGCGAGACGCGACAGCTTCTCCACTGCAAACACAAAGAAAGATCATGCATGAGTAAATGCGAGACCATAAGGTCCAGGTTACATCGTGGAAAGTTTAGCGCTTCTGATTTGTCGCATATAAAAACCGAATTACGATGTGGTTCGGCGGAAGACTTCTCGAAAATTAACGGTACTGTCTAACTGGTGAAATGGCGTAGCTCAACATATGTGCAGATTTTTGATCAGCAACTCTGGGGAATTAATGTGAGTAGTAATACACGAAAAATAAGGTGACAGTAAGTGCATGGGCCCACTGCAAGGATATCATTCTTCCTATAATCGTGTTTCGTATTCATTCAACCATGTAAATACGTGTTCCCACTTAGGATACTTCCTAAGTGAACTCATTACAGTTTCGATCATGTCTGGTCTGGCCGGCCTCGAAGCGTGACAATCCGTGGTAGTGGATTTGGAAAGCTCGACCCATTCCTCCACCGAAGTCGAACACAGAAGGTCCAAACACTACTTTCATGTTCTGACGAGCTGTGTCCAGCCAGATTTTGAGTTCGTCTCATATTCGACGCCTCCAGGTGGGCAACAGCGCCGGATAAAGAGTAGCAACACTGAATCCATGAGACAGACGACGAAGAAAATACCCAAACCACCTCAGTCGCCCTTCTTGGATGGTCCAAATTATCTTCGCGATGTTGTTGCACCGAGTGCGAACTGTCTCAACTGAAAGAAAGTCGACGTAGTTCACTCAAAGGATTGCGTTCAGACAGCGCATAAACGCCTTCAGTTTCGGTCACCTCGGACGCACACTGCCCGGTACTTACAAAGGCATTGGAGGACTGGCCGGAGGGGTGACCGGTATACACAGATCTTTGTGATTATGAAGATGTCGCGTCAGACCCATTGACACTTTCTATGGATTGTTAAAATTCTGCGAGCAGCATCGATTCGGGAGGCTATATCCATTTGGCAGTTACTTCGCTCCGAGGTATTTGAAATTACTTAGTTCTTCGAGTGGACCGTCATTAATAACGAGGGATGCCTTGTCAAACTCAGGGATGGAGCTTGAAAACACTGATCTTCCCAACTTGTATGGACAGACCGACCGATTTAACGACTTCATTCACCTGTGACGCCAGAGAGGACAGATTTCTGAGGAAGGCGAGAGCTAGCGGTTGGCTTAGCTGCTGACTACTTGAAGCCAGATTGCGGGTGATGGGCAGTAAAACAGCCATTGATAAAAGCTGGTTGCAAAACACGTACGATGGTGTCTGATCAATGATCTACTGCGGTATTATTGGCAGGACGCGAAGAGCTGTCTGTGAGTTTTCTTACCTCCGCTGCGTTACAGGCCGAATCTCTATTCAAAGGTCAGTGAGAAGATCAGGGAATTCGACTTGAATCAAACACTTAATATTCCATGATATGCATGTTCTTCGACCGCAAATACCGACGCTAGCCGCTAAGACGCCAGCGGAAAAGGAGGCATTCGAAACTCTGCTCGTGAGCCGAATGGCAAATAGGCTAGCTGCTCCCTTCAGAAGGAAATGCGTTTGGAGTGCTGAAACGCAAGAAGTATTCTTGCAACGGCAACACAGTACCCACTGTCAGTGACCAGTCGAATGAAGTGTTAACCAAAATTCTGATACGTGGTTTCGATTAGGAAGGATTAATCAAGTGGGAATGTAATGTTGATCATCATGTGGCATAACCCCGTGATATTACGAATACGCAGGGATATTAGCTTTTGGATGCACTCCTTTTCGGCCGCCTGCAAAAACCACACGCAGAAAAAATGGCTACTTAAATAGTGTGCACTTTTTCTTCAATTTTCGACGCCCTTGTAAATCCAAACATATTTTAGAGAAAGCCACCATGAGGACATTATTTATTGTACTTGTTTAGTAGCATCCCGTGTTTCCTTTAGATTTTATATTTCAAAGGCACTCTTCCATTCTAAAAAGGCCTTTCAATTTCCGAATAACTCTGGACTCAATGTGCCGTTGCATCTTTGCTTAGGGTCTCCAGTCTTAAAGCTGTATATTTTCGTGTAATCAAAAACATACATTCCTTTATGCCACTAAAATGTTGAAACGAATGTAGACTATGTCGTACATTTAATGGGGAGTATTATTAAACAGACAGATACGATACTATCCAGATGGACATTGAACGGTTTTAGAAAATTCCATAATTGTAAACTTTTTAAAACCGAAAGATACTATTACTTCGAGCACAAGATTTGAAAAAGGCATGATTTGCTACCAAATGGAGGTTTTCTACCAAATATGTTTGAATTTACAAGAGCATCGAAAATCAACGGAAAAAACATACGCTAATTAAGTAGTCATTTTTACCGGGTGCGGTTCTTGCAGGTGACGGAGCAGAAGTGCATTCACAAGTCCAAAAATTGGCGTGTCCGACGTATCACGGGATTATGTCGCAAGATTGTCAATATTACAGCCCCACTTAACTAATCCTTCCTGATCGATAAGGCATTTCAGAATCTTAGTTACCATTTCATGAAAGCGGTCATAGTACAACCGCCGGCATAGTACAACGCGAACGCTGTGTTGCTCCCCCGAGGGACGCCTGCCAGATCAGGACTCACGGTGTTAAGACGCCATGGGCTGATAAATGTCCCCATCTCTACAACAGCAGTGTCACTGGAAGTTATGGTCGCCCTGAGCACGTGTAATGGAAACAGGTATCCCCGAAAAATGGCAGTCGTGTATATCCTTAGTGTGACTGCTGACGTCACAGTTATTGTGTTATACGCCCCAGAGCTGAATGCTCAGAAAGTGGGATTCTAAGTCCATTTACAAACAACAGTCATGGGTTATACTATCATTGCGAAGTTTTAAATGTCAGAAGGGGGAAGTGTGGCGCATTTACGAGGTGAGGCTCTGGGCACTATGTTGTAAAAGCCCATTGAGTAGATGGTGGAAGGCTTCTCAATTTTGCTGCCCTGAGGAGTCCTTCGATAAAAGTATCTGCTTTTAGGATCCTAGGAGATATCTGTGCATCTAAAGTTTAGGTAGTGGTAACATTTAAAAAGAGCACACTCTTGCCTGAGAAGGCTCAGCAGTAAACTTCCGTCTACAGGGTAGTGCAGGAACCAACGGTGAGGTTGATGCTGACAATGTCATTGTGAACTCCCGATTGCTGCTGGCATTATTATTTTTGTCCACAACAAACGACCTACGGGGAATTACAATATTGATTGCCTTAAGAATCTTGCCACTGCGACTGCTGTTAGGCCGTAATGACACTGACGGCAACCACCCTTGACAAATCTTCGCTCGAAAGCAACCTGCCCGAAGTGATGCATACTCTTCAGAGTACCCTGCAGGGTAGGCTCATTTGAGTGTGAACAAAAGCGTGTTATCCGTGCTTGTCGACCTAACGCGGACTTTTATTTACCAGAGTCGATGAACTCGTTACAGTTTTTACGATCTGGTTCAAGAGATTTGCTGTTGTCGACATAAGGGGCAGATCAGGATCTCGTTTGAGAAGCCGTTAGTGGACGGAAACTTGAGACAGAAGGCCTGTTCATGATGATAAAACTGTCAATGGGCCAAGTAGGAATGTCCGATGGAAATATGTAGGCTATGTGGCAGTTGAAATGTGATTCAAAGATCTTCGGAATCCGCGTAAAGAAACGCTCAAGAGAATAGAGTAAGTTGAGGTAGGTGGCTTCATACTTAAGTTTACAGGAGGAACTGAAAATACCACAGAATCTTCAAATAGTCTTCCAGCACTTTCGACTTTCTTCAGATGTTTATGAAAGGAAATCTGGTTCAGACAGAACTGCAAGAAATCAGTTTGCATCGTCACTTTACGGGAAACCATGTTTTCATGAAATGGACATTTGAGATAATTAAACGATTTCAGGAGATGGTTGAACAAGAGCTACAACTTACTATGCTCCGTCGGGTTTTCGGGGCATACAGCAGATACGCTATCTCATGAAATGTTAACCGAGATTCCGAGATATGTTCTCCACTCGTAAAAAAATACTTAAGTAGGGTTGTAATACTAATTACTACGCAGCATAATCCTAAGATATTTCAGCCATACCAAGATGCCAGCTCTTTAATTGGCTTCTTTTCGACCGCCCGAAAAACTGTACTCCGTAAAAATTGACTACCCAAGTAGTAGGGAATTTTCCCGTTGATTTTGCATGTTCTCATAAGTTTAAGTAGATTTCATAGAGAACGTGCACAAAAATACTTTCACTCATGCCCCGTTGGTAGCAAATTACGTCTCCGCTAACTTTTACATCCAAAGTAGAGGTATACCTCGGTTTTAAAAGGGCTTCTGATTAAGACATTTTTCAAGACCGTGAAATGTTTACTTATACAGCATCGCATCAGCACGTTTGCTAGTGCTACTCATACAGTACACAACCTGGTCCCCATCCATTGTACAATTTTATGAAGTCTCCATAGCAGTGTCGAGAAATATGTGATATACCTTTGACGGAGTGTATACAGCATGTAGTTTTGAAACCCTGAGTACAAATGAAACGGCAGGTGAAGCAAAAAAAGTATTTGAGAATTGAAGTGTTCAAAAACCGAAAATTTGAAGACGTAATTTGCTATCAAATGAGCACAAGAGGGGGCATTTTTGTGCACGTCCTTTATAGAATATAATTAGACTTATAAAAGCACAGAAAATCAAGGGAAAAATGTCATACTATTAAAATTATCATTTTTTACAGGCTGCAGTTTCTGTAGGCGACTGAAAGAGGGCTAATTCAGAAACCAGAATTCTGGTGTAACTTATATATCTTAGGGCCATGTTGTATGATAACTAGTATTACAACCCTACTTAAAAATTCTAGTCGAACCGAAAACATATTTCAGAGCTCCCGTCAACATTTAACGAGATAGCGCACCTACTGTAAATTGCGCCAATTTCAACATCGCAACGAAGGGACATTCGGTAATTGCAGTAGACAGAATTTTTAAACAACGGAATAGTAGACAAACGGTTAGGCAAAAATTTGCAAAATTTTACGCCTTAATGAGGCACAGCCACTACATTGACGAGCCGTTTCTTTAATGCGGGTTTCCTGGGCGCATCTTGGAGCAATAGATTTCATCGGCTGTTACCGGGAAAAAAATACTTTGGTTTGAGGTAACAGGGTAGAAAATACAAGGATGTGAATTCTACTTCATAAGTCCTTCGTCTCAATTAAAATAATCAAATTTAAGCGGAAAGCCAGCACATAACTGTGAATAAATTAATGTGGAACCACGTTCCACACATTTGCATAACAAGCCAATGGGGCCATTTATGTAAAACCGAATTTAAAGAATCCTGTTGGAACGCTATGCAGGTACTTTATTTAGCGTGAAGTCGACAGCAGAGTATGCGAATAAGGACCCTCCCGTAAACAAAAACCTCATCGTACATCTTCCAAACCGTACCGTTTTAATGCTTAGCCGAAAAGAGGCAGATATGACAAAGGAAATGTCAGACGTACGTTCGAAAACATCGTTTACTATATCCTCAGGAAGTACAACATCATCAACGTCGCTGGAGAAAGCCGACCCGAGGAGAAGCGAATTGTGGTCAGAGTAACCACTATCTGCAGGTGGTAGTGGACGGGTCGACTGCCCTCCGCAACCACCCAGTTGAATTGACGGGCTGCTGCTAAGTTGTGGGGCTGCTGATGGGAGGGGACCGTTCTTCATGCTCTGACCCAGCACGGACGGAAGAGCCGAATGATGGAAAGTCGGTGTCGGCATTTGCGGAGAACAGGCCTCGCGCAGGCACGATTCCTCATTATGGGGATGCGGCATGAGATCTGAAGGGAGTGCATGAACACTCTGATTGATGTCGCGCATAACCACCATTTGGTGGGACTGCTGCTGCTGCTGCTGCTGCAGGTGTTGAGGCGGTGAGGTACCGTAGAGGGGGACATGAGGAGCGTTACCCGCGTGGTATGGGACTTGGCTGTCCGTAACTGAAGGCGAGGCGTCAAAAGCGTAGGGTGAGACCACAGGAGAGGCGATAGCGTCGCTTCCGATGCCAGGAGCACATCCCTGAGGGTAGTGCTGGCCAGAAGGATGGGAAGGAAGCGGTGCCGGTGGTACAGACTGTATGTCTGGGCTAATCATTGGGTGAGCGCCAGTTGTTCGAGGTCGGTAGTGTGGGTGCTGATCATTTGACCTACAAACGCCACCGCGCTGAAGGCCCGTTGTACTGGGTCCGTGTTGCTTTGGTGAATGAACAACAAGACCACCGCCTCCGCCGCCATTGGTTTTGGAATCGATACCGCCGACGCCAACAGCAGTTTTTATATTTCTCATCTTGTTAGTCACCCCGGAGGGGTCGTTTCGGAACTGTGAAGAAGTTTCAGCTGAAATTTGGCATCTGTTGGTAACGACCATCCTTAGCTCGGCTTTCACCATATTACTACAAGGTGATAAAAAAGTACTGGGTCAGTAAGTTAAGAGGACGATCGAAGACAAACATATCTACAGTAAGAACGCCCTCAAGGCACACCAATTGAAAAAGTACCTGCCTCTTCACACACGCATTAGTGGGAAGGTTGCGATGTAAATACGAAATACGATAATCTGCTTGAGTGAGAGAGTGAAAGTGCTTAACACTGAGATGACTTGAATACCTGCTTTTATCTCCTGTTCTGCCCCTTTGAGTGGCGTCCAACTTGGCACAAATCACGACTGTCCACATGCCATACGATGATACACGAGGACGACTGAAGAGCACGTATTTGGCAGGTAGATCGATAAAGACGCAGTGACATGCTGGTTTAGCATCGATACGACCACGCTATTGTCTGTACAATGCTGCTCAAGTTGCGGTCGTGAAGTGAACCAGTGTGTGCGCATGTGCGGCCTTCAAAGATAGAACGCGTCTACGATCCAGGCAACACTCCAGTCTGTTCTGAGGGCCTTCAAACCCGCAGGGTTAAGCACACGGACTTTGTGCGCCTATCCAGTATGACGGAAAGTAGTGAAAGCAGGAAATCAGACAGTTCCTGGGTAACATTGCCACACCTGCTACGCCTGTCGAGTCGCAATTCAGCGCTCAGCGGGTTCTCATTTGGATGCTTACTGCAGTAACACAGAGCGGCTAACAAGACGTGGAGTGAACCAGTGTATGCGCATGTGTGGCCTTCAAAGATAGAACGCGTCTACGACCCTTCAAGCCCGCAGGGTTAAATACACCGATTTTGTGCGCTATCCAGTACGACGGAGAGCAGAGAAAACAAGAAATCAGACAGTTCCTGGGTTACAATGCCACACCTGCTACGCCTGTCGAGTCGCAATTCAGCCGGTGTAGACACAAACGAGCTCCACAGTAAAGCGGGTCGTCTCAAGTGCGAGATTACGTGGCTGATACGACGCTGATCATGAGAGATCTGACTGGGGTGTCGAAGTGGAAAGCCTGTCTACATTAGCTCCCTGCCACGACGAATAGCTGACAAGGCTCGCAGTGAGCAATGCAGCAGGGTCAGGAGGTGATGCAAAAATCTCAGCAAACATGCGAAATGGTTAGGTAAGGGTAGAAATAGCACGGCAAGAAGTACACCAAGCAGTCACAATGATAAGGGCTAAACTATGTACGAACTGGTGTCGGTATAGTCAGTAAGACGCGAGTGTAATGTCTGAATTGCGAGCCGGGTGCCTTGGTGGGGAGAAACGCCCCCCAGAGCGCGTCTACGTAAGGTCAAGGATCAGAGGCTGGAAAAAATGGTTCAAATGGGGAAAAAGTGGAATAACTAAATTAGCGTCAATATAAGTACAGATTTGGCGATATTGGAGTGAGTAAGCGTTAAAACTCGCCGGAGAGCAATTACACATCGGTGCCAAGTTAACACGCTAACGCAAAAACCTGCCGGAGGGAAGCAAGATCGTCCCGGTAACGATAAGTGAAGATGACAAACACAAATACTACAGCTTTAAGGCTCAAATGCTGTGGTGGTGTAAGAAATAGCGGTTTGAATTTGTGGAAATGTCAGTCTATAAACCTACGCATGGCAGTATATTGATTAGCATCTCTTGAAATGGACCCTCACTGGTAGCAACTGAAATAATGTATGACTACAACAATGCTATTCTAAACTGTGGAAGAAAACACCGGTTGTATAATCGCTGAAAGTGTGGATTATAATAAAGGCTCCTCTTTCAAAATCGAGAATACTATGCGGAACTTAATTACAGCTTGAGTGAAGGGTCAAGTGCGAGATGGGCTTGCTTACTGTCGATTATTTGGTGCATTCACGATCGTTGCCGCTGCAGTCGTCGATGCCGCCGCCACCGAGACGGCAGAAACGTGTGGATCGATCTTCAACTCGTACTGGTCCATTTGGTTACTAGTCGAAGCTTGATTCATCCTTGAGGGCCTTCGGAGGAGGGAGTTGTCTTGCATGGCGCGAGGCTCATCGAAGGGCAGCGCGGTTGAGGGGTAGGCCGGCGGTGGGGCGTAGGTCCTTGTTACGACCGAATGGCAGCTGTGTTGGTGACGGGGGAGGAGACTGTTATCAATACCTCCTGACAAATGTCGGACATCTGCGGGCGGCGGTTTCAGGAGGTCCGGTTGAGGCAGTGTCTGTGTAAGTGATTGAGGTTGTGCTCCACTGACAGGTGATCGGCGAGGGCTGTACTCCAGTGGTTCGGGCGGAAAGTCGTACTGGGATGCCGAAAGGGGCCGATTACCCATGGGATCTCCACCACAACCACGATAGGAATCTGAGTACTCGCAGCTGGCAGAGTTCAAGTGGTAGGCATTGTCGTGAAATTTGGACTGGGAAAGCTGTTGATATGTGAGGAAAGAGCTCAGTGCATCCACAATACCAATGGTAAAACGAGAGAGAGAGAGAGAGAGAAAAGGGCACAAAGGAGAATGAGCTTACAGTTTGTGAGTCTTCAAGAAGGAAAGAGGGGCAGCTGATAGCCGGCGTCTTCTGGACGTTAACGTTGGGCGCAATCTCCTTCAGCTTTTTGGTGAAATCTTCCAGGGGCAGGGGGCAGGGCGAAGCAGCAGCACCAGGAATTGGGCAAGACAGCTGGTCGAAGCCGCCAGAACCAGAGGATGGAAGAGGCGACTGAGTTGGCAAACTGTGGTTGCCCGCACGCCCGGAGTTCATCAGCAGACAGTTTTTCTGGAGCCGCAATAGGCGCTATTACGACGAAAAGAGAAAGTGCGCATATGGGGTTTTGTTTCTCGGGGAAGTGGAGAAGAGACAAGAAGCTTTGCTGTGAGGATGGACCAAAACACCGACCTCCTATAGCTGGTGATAAGGTGATCCACTGGCTGAACTATCAGGATTACACCAGACGGCCGCACAAAAAAAGTAATACTTCATGTTGACTCAAGCTGGCCGACTAACGCCTCAGGGATGATTTTGTAGGGATTTCATGGGCAGTGAGTGATAATGACGGACTTCAGATAACCCGAAATGATGACCGCCCGCGTGACTTGAGAACTAACGAGCGCGAAAGAGAGTTGGGAAATTAGATTCTGTCTTTCGGGGAAATCCACCAACTATTAGTCGCTGAAATTCCGATTGTGTGAGCGGATGCCATTAACGCCTGCTGTGATTCCACGCGTTTATTGAGGCGTGGATAAAAGCGCACAAAAAGACAACTTCGCCGAATCGACCAACAAGTTTGCAATCGCCAAGTGTTGCCCACCGACTTGTTTGCCGCCTTCAATCGGCTAAACTCCAGAGGCGCGTTACTAAAAGTCAAAGGTTGAATCCAGGTGTGTTCATAAGTCGAACGTCGTACTAGTTGATACACGGGTTCAGCCTTTGTGGATTATGATCTAGGCTAGTCTAAGTCAAGTGAAGGGTGGCGTTCACCCGCCTGGTCTGATTGCACGACAAGCATTCCGTTTAGCTTTGCAAGGCACCACAGATCTGACGCAGGTCGACTGAAAACACTTTACCCGGGGATAGACGATAGAACGGGTGTGACTGAGTGCCGGGGAAAATGGCGGTGTCCCGTCCTTACTGCTGCTGCTGTCGCCAGCCGTTAGCACCCTCTGTCGTTAGCACACCTCCACGCGCCCCCTGCAGTTGCCCACAACGCTGTGCTCCCCATCGGAAGTCTGGCAGACATGTCGGAACCACTCCCGCGTCCACTCCAGGTGGATCAGTTGGGCGTGAGACGCAATTCCTCTTGTATTGTTTGACATCTTTTACGTTTTAACTTGCATATTAACTGTAGTAAAACTTGCCCTTTTCGGCTAGATCGCAGTTGGTAGCCAGGCAACGTATTACGGGTGACTGGGATTTTGTTTACTGCGGCTATTTTGTGGGGTTCCATATTCACATCTGACCCATTTGGCTTCCGTTTTACGCCTGAGGTTAGGACTAAGGTACCGGTTAATTGTTTCCGATTTTCGGGTTAGGGTTATACCTTTAGGCTTAGGTTTTTGGGTTACGGTTGGGGTTTGAGCGCACGATTAGGTTTCAGTATTACGGTTAGGTTTTCCAGTTACGGCTATGTCTAAGGGCTACGGTTGCGTTTACGATTTCGGTTTGGTTTAGGGTTGCCGGTAAGGTTAACGGATAACGTTCAAGGTTGAGGTTAGGGTTAGGGTTGAGGTTAGAAGTAGGGTTGAGGTCGCCGTCCGCTTCCCTAGTCCTGGCTACCAACTGCGATCTCGCTCCCTTTTCTTCCGAAGTCCCTATTTCTGAGTCTGGTGCGGCGCTGAACGACCGTGTTCAGCGCTCCCACAGACGGAAAACTATTCTGAGTAACTTATTTAAACGTTTGTCCTCCTCAACGTCTTCGGCCGCTACAGCCTTGCGGTGCTGCAGTAAACTCACCGCAGGCGGTCACACAAGCAATCAGTACGTACGAAGTACAACCTACAAATATTATTCGCAGAATGAATGCAAGGACTATGATTAAAACACTTTAGATCCCTCACCTTTTTCTCTTCAGCCAATCGCCATTGAGTACTAGAGTTTCGCTGTTGATTGGCTGCTTCTTGGGCGATTTTGGCGGCAGCTGCAGCTGCAGCGGCGCGGTTGCGTTCGGTCGCTGTAAAGAATAATCACAAAAAATTAAGCCAGAAATAAGAACAGTAGATGAGACTGGGCAACCAAAAAACATCCTGCCTACCAGGCGGACCATAGAACAGGACTGTCATATCTAAGCAGAAGATACTCGCAAGTATTATGCCTTCGGTTAAGGAAACATCTTCGAGAGTTTGGGGTTTACAATTGTACTTGGCTCCCAAGGCCAATTTAAACCCACGTAGACTCAAAGGGGTAATTAAGGTCTTCACATGAATCCTCAAACTACGCAGACGGAATCCGAGTATAAATCTTACTACAACGTCCTCAACAGGATGTGACGGGCTTCCAAACGAACAGCCCACTTCCACTTACAAAAAGATATGTCCCAGAACGGTCAGAGGTCCATAGGGAACAATGGTCGCTAGAAAATAGGATGACCCTGCCACCGCTACCCTAAGTTGCGAGGCAGCCGCGCGTGTCGTTAGCTAGTATTTTCATAATTGGCTAGGTCGCCCTATGATAAGCAAGGTGGATCAAAATGGTCCACATGTAAGCAAGACAATGATTTCATTAGTCGAGCACTAGCAAGTATCATTATACGTCCCTTACGGCTATGCCCAGGGAACACCTGTCAATGTTTCCTTTGCGCATAATTAGAAAAAGGATGAAACAGTCCAACCTCCGTCAGCAAAACGCCATGACAATGCCACTTTTTAATTTGGAAATTTATTAGAAACGTTTTTTGTTCGCTCAAAAATATATCAGTCACAGACTTCCAAAATGGAAAAGCATTTACTTTTGTGATGAGGTGGTATTTTTTGACAAGCCCTCGAAGTCGGCCTAGGTAGTCATGTGTGGGAAGAGCTATCCACGAGGGAACACTGTATCCACACCAACTTTCAAGAACTGTCGAAGCCTAATGGCTTGGATAGCCATCGAACCCGGAGAGTGGCCAATCTGGCGTTGAACAACGAAGACGAAGAATAGCAAGGTTTTCATCAACATCGATAAGGATGCCTTCGGTTATAACGACACTCATCGACGTCGAATGGACACCGTAATGTTGCAGGATAAAGCCTCAGTTCACTGCTCAAAAGGAGTATGATTCCAATTCAGCTTACAACTATAATCTAATATTTTAGACCATAGTCAGCCTCTCTGCCCGCGATCTTCGAAGTATTTTTATTCCCGTCAATGGCCCGGACCTGAATCTGGCGAAAATCTTCTTGCATTAAACAAACGGAAATGAGACAAGGCACGAAGACATCTTTCAATGAGGCAAAAGTTGGATTTTGTGCTTCAAAATTATATAGACTAGACCACCATAGACAACTTAGTAGTCTCAATGCCCCCCCCCGGCTTACAGCAACTTTCAAGGCCAAAGGACAGTCGACAAAGTAGTAATGCATTTTATTTGTTACTGTTTTTGCCACGTTCCTTCTCTGCCGGCAGTTATTTAGGCCTTAAATAATTTACCTGTCACAAAGGCACTTTTTGACTAGGTGGGTTTTCGTAAAATAAATTAGTTCTTAGTCAATAAGTAATACTGTATAAACCAAATTGTGTCTTGTTTTGAATTTCTGTTTTATCTTTAAAGCAATATAACATTCGTGGATGCGGGATGGGCCGTTTGTGCGCTACGGCGATTTTTAGTCCGCAGTTTGTGACCTTTCATGAGATAGGTCACGAACTGCATGTTGATAAATGAAACTGCGCCTTCGTCTTAAAATGTGATCGAACTTTCAACTTAAGGTAAGAAGAAGACTTTAGAAAAAGGAATGAATCTTAGTTGCTTCAAAATTAGACTTAACTAGTGTTCTAAATGCAATTCATTGCCAAATAAGATGCATTTTAAAGTACCGATAAGAAACTGATAAGAACCGCACCGCACAATCTTCTGAGATGTGATTTGCAAATTTTAGGTCGCGTTGTGTTGACAACGAGATTTAAATCAAGGCAATGATCGTATTTCCGCCTGGCCGGCTGCGTTGAATTTCACCCGACCCCATCAATTGCGATGGCATAAGCTTACGACAGAAGTTGCAACCAGGTACTTCATGGGGGGAGAGCAAAGGCATAAAACCGCATCGGAGTTATGCAAGAGGATTGTTATCAGCAAGGGCACTCGAAATACTGCTAAGACATTTACGCAACAATGCTCCGCTGGAGAAAAATCTATTAGTGCTACTTTTAGTATTCGGCGCTATCGACAAATTCAGCTCCAAGTACTCGATTATTAACTGGGTAACAAACGACTGGCCTCCACTGTAGTCGGTAGACGGCCGACCTCCAAGCGAAAATAGGTCATGTAAGAGACCAGGCAATAACACCGAAGATCAGGGGACTTCGCACGTGACGGGGATAAACTTTCATAATGCCCAATCCCGACCGGATTTGCGACATCGGTGTCACTTTCAAGAAATCGCCTGGTGGAGGGGACAAAGCACACGGCAGACCCAGTCTGTTCGGCAAGTATGAATAATGGATTTGCGAGAAGAAATCCAGACCAACAGAAGAAATGCTCTACAGAGAAGCAACAGTTGTCTTCCAAGAGTCCAGACCATATCTAACACCCTTGCAGAAGGGTTGCCTTCGCGAAGGCACCAGGCACTCACAGCTTCCTTCTCTGAATGACCTCACAGCAAATCCAGAGGTCTGGGCCAAGTGGGGAAAAGGCCATGCGCTCCCGGTTGATAACATGGGCGATTTCACATTCACCCAACCCACTGTGCAAAAACACCGCCCCAAAATAACAAGGGACACGCATCAGTCCACGAGATGGACTATCTATTCACACCCAACAGACATTGCCGACCGAAGAACTCCCAGGTCATTCACTTCATCCTAAAGGAATCCATTTTCAAGCCTACTTCACCCGCATTCGCATCAATCTGAGGCCCCGCAGGCTGCATTTCTACAAGGGACCCCGTCAGCACCGCAATCTTGCCGGCGTAGTCAACGCGCATAATTCATTGGTTACTGCCCAGAGGTCCGCTAGTGTGTAATGGAGGGCAGTCTACAGCACACTTGAAAAGAGGAGATGCAATACTGCGGTCATGACGGATGCTAAGTAAGCCACTCTCCCCATCACCCACACGCGCTTCGGATCTCTTCTTGTGATTGTGGAGACGGTAGTTTACAGTGCCATTGTGGCGAAGTGGTTGAAGGCAACCATATGGAAGTCCGCGACAGTGGCGGAATCATTCAGACTGTCAGTATCATGCCTCCTTCCAAGTTGGACCCCCTGCGGTAAAAACTGGTGGGAGCCGTTGTTGTGCTCCTGTTAGAGCATAGACAGGGTCATTTGAGCCATGCGAACGGTAGAAGTCAAGCGCTAAACTGTCCGAAAGTGGACAGGCAAGCAGGGAGTCTACTATGCCCTGCATCTGACTACCGCCTAAGTACCAGAGACCTCTAGAGACGTCAGACGGACAATCAAGTAGATAAGTGCAGGGGAATGGGCAAAGCTCTCATCAGTGGCGTAACTCCGAGATACTAACCAAAAATTCAGAGGTACTTTCGATGAGTTGTTCGAAGGGGAAGATGCAGAAATTCAGGCTATAGTATGGGAGCTAGGTGTGCTTCCAGTTGGGGGAGCCTAATAACAACCTTACATGAAATAACTATGATGCGAAACAAATCCGGGGGGGGGGGGGATTTTCTGATTTTGTGGCGAACGTTCTGATCCCAAAGCAACTACTGCAAACGTCGTTGGTCACAATATTCCTGCCGAATGGTGCAGAGAACTCCGCTCGACTTGCCAAAGACCAGTAAACCACCTGAACTTCCAGACGCTGTCTGTCAATTGGACACGTACGGAGGAATCAAATCTCCCCCTTTCTCGGATGGTCCACTTCCTGGTTAGTATCGCTATCTGCATGAAATCGACGGAATATGCTAAGAGAAATAACGAAGTAGAGAAGAAGGGCCTAAGTGTCGGTAGCTCTTACCTGCAGCCGACGGAGGTGTATAGGTATTCGGGTTGGCAAACCCATTTCCAGATCGAGGCTGTGGCCAATTCTGATGTATGTGCTTCACAACATCTGGTCGCTGACGTGACTCAGGAGAACTGAGTGATGAGGTTTGAACGGGTTCTGGCTGCAAACAGGGTGAAAGCAGGGTCTGCTGTTTTGGCGAGAGCTGCTGTGTGAGGGGATCAGAGCCCCGTGGTTGTGCCGTAAAATCGCAGGTGGCCGACTCTGAGGAGTAGCGTGCGCGTTTGGTCATTGGCATTTCCGCCGAGTACGAATCAGGAAGAGGCACTGGTGACAGATGGACGCTCTCATTAGACCTGGATGAGGCGGCAACGGTGGTGGCGGCAAGAGTTAAGGCCTCGGGAAACATCTTCGCGGGTGGATCCAGGGATTTGGGACGCGAGGCATCACCATCCATCAGGAAGGAGGACATGAGAGGGTCGTCCAGCAAGTCCCACAAATCATCATCACCCCTGAGTCGAAAGGAATCCTCTGTTGGTGGAGCCTGACCAGCAGACGAGGTTGGAGGAAAAACTGGGTAAGCGGGCGTCGGAGGTGCGGTAACAAAACCCTGAGCTGTCGCACTCTCCACTTCCGCCTGAATAGTCTCTGGACAGGGGTTTGAGTCAAGCAGGAGGCGATAGAGACTGGAAGAAAGAGCTCCGCCATTGTTTTCCGTCTTAGCGGTCGCCTCGAGCCCTTCAATCCGTGGTGAAGGCGAGGACAGCGTTATAGTCGGGTTGACGGACAAGGGTCGAGTTAGAGGGTCTGAAAAGTGAATTAAAAAATTTAATACACCGACTAGCCCAGGATGTAGAGGAGGACTTCTCGTGATTTTGACGTCAGTCGACTCAGAAGCAACCGGAGGCCACAGGTTCGGGGTCGTTAACAAGAAGGGGATAATAGCACAGCAAGGAGGCGATTATACTATGGCAACACATGAGTTATTTCAGTTCGATGGGGATGTGACAGAAAGCGATAAACAGCATTTATTCACTACATTTTTGAGCGATACAGTCCACTGGATATTCTTGAATACTAGGAACGTACAGATAGCAAAAACGTCTCCGCAAAGGATACGATCCTGTTCGCCAACTGTTCGATCAGCCCCTCGCTCCTGAGGTGGTCGCACCACAACTGGAGTGGCCGGCCTGCCTGCCCTGCAAATGACTGCCAACCTGAGTCGAGTCCGCCGCGTGATAGTTGCTGCGTCAGCGAGAAATTCCCTACTGCGCTGACCGTTAATTGCATCAGCATTTAGTAAATGCACTGGTGGGGTGATGGCTTGATAACGCAGGCCATTAACTGCTCTCGTATTAACCTATTCTCTCGTCACAATTAGCGCATGTGGATGTAGATCAGCTGGAGCAGCCTTCAAGAGGAAATCACACGAGGAGATGTTTAATCTAAATTAACTGAAGTTCCTTGTGCGTGTCCAGTCTTCGAAAAGGGGCAGTAGACACAATCGTCAGGGACGTCAGCCAATGAAGACGGTTACTTCAGAGATCTTTCGTGGTGCGTCAATAACTCGGTGTGGGAATATCCACCTTGCCAGCCTGAAAGATGACCGGTTATATTACAGGGGCGCCGATAAACACGAGATTAGTTACTTTAATGTGAATAAACGGTGATCTTGCGACACTTGGACCCCTGCCAGCCTAGAAATTTGATAACACACCAGTAGAAGAGTTCCAGTCTTGTGTCAAAGGAAAAGGCGGGACATAAGAGTGGTCAGAAGAAAAGGTTGGGGCCTGATAAACCAAGTACCAGTACTTAAAGTGGGACTATTCTGAACGAATGGCCAATTGAATGTCAAAAATACAGCGTCATCAACTTAATCGATGGACCGAATAATCACCATGCGAAGGATCCTGGAAAAGCGACTTTGTCTCCCACAGAAGACGCTCGCCTGTTCTCCTGACTTTCCGCGGAATTCCACCCGCCAAACCGAGGTGCGCTCTCCGGAAAGCCCTGAGGGCTGATGGCATGATCCCGAAATTCGCGAAGTTGGTCAGGGAATACTAATAAGTCAAGCGCATAAAAGTTCGGCTGGCGACGAGGGCGAGCACTTCACTATCAGCAGGTCCACTTTAAGTGTACGACAGACTCGAGTCTGTCGACAGTACTCAAGGACTACGAAGGAGTCCGGGTAGAGCAAAACCTCGTCTCGTACCTTGAGTATACTGACGGTATTACCTTTCTTGGAAATGTGTCCGAGGAGACGCAATCTGCCTTTAGCCGAAAAGTCCTTAAATTCGTCACACTCAGTTTCCGAATGGATGATGGGAAAACTAAAGTCTCTCATCACAAACGGCTACCCCTATCCTCCTAGACGGAACGAGGGCTTAGTACGACAGAAAATGTCCGACTGACTAGTGTCAATGGGAGATAAACCGTTGAGTACACCTTGTCTGTTCTAAAGATGTCTGTGGTCTCGGTGTGTGGTTAAGCAGAACACAAAGTTTCCTATGCATGAGGCTGTGGTCAAAACCGTCCTACTGTGTGGCTGTGAGGCAAAGCCATTGCGTGCTGCTGGTCCGAGGAAGGTCCTGCCGATTGACAACTGGTGCGTATGGAGAATACTACGGCCTCAGCAGATGAACAGTAACTCAAATATTGAACTCCATCGCCAAATAGCGACACCTGCTGGCGTTGCGATAGAGTTGTCGTCCAGATTATTTGGTTACAAACTTCGAGGACACTGAATGGAGCTTGTCCGCGACGTCACTTCATCGAATTGTTGTTCGAGTCCACACCGCTACCATCGTGGTGGTCGGTCAAAAAGGCGGACAGGTGTGGTTAGACTCGTCTCATTCACTGAATCGCTAAAATTCTTCCATATTGCGTAAGTTTGAGCATACGGCGCTTCGCGATATAGGTGGCGCTCGTGGAGCCCCCACTGGTCGGAGTGATAAGTAGGCTAGTTTGAAGGCTTATCATGCGTATACTGGAGTCTGTAGACGGATATCCTGCTGGCGTATTTACCTATCCGGTCTGGCTTCAGAAGGTAACACAGGTGTTTAAACTGGCCTTTGACCTCCCAGCTAGGGCAGTCGTACGGCGAGCGACAGACGCGGCGAATATGAGATAGCTGGAATTGAAAGGAAAACTCACGGTTTCCGAGGGCTGTAGATGCCCCGTACTCAGGTAGAGGGGGTGGAGCGGCGTATTGTGCACAAACAGGGGACTGCGTATGTTCGGCATAAGGTGTACGCTGAAGTTGGTCGCGGACGCAGGGGGAGGCAGGTTGCTGACCAAAGCAGTTGACGGGCGAGCTTGACTTGAAGGATGTGTGCGGCTCGCTCTTTACAACAGAATTCGTTGATGCTCCTTTTAGCGGAAGGTCAGCTGAGCAGGTGACCACCTTCGAGGAAGCCAGTGATGCAACTGGGGGCACCCCATGAAGTAGGAGGTGGGCCAGTGAGGAACGACACGTTGGTGTCTAGACGACAGAGGAGGGGGACCACGCCATTGAAGCACAGTAGCAGGACAGAAGACCAAGAATAAGTTAATGAAAAGCTACAGGTGCATGTGAAATGCGGAACCATCGTTAAATCAAAGCTTTGATTCAGTTGTCTAAAGCATTTTGGGTCGCAATGTAAATTGTCTGGTCTGACTCGCAACGTCAGTCAATGCCTTAGAAACTGAATCAGGTAGACTAATTTTTCGCAGCTTATAATGCCCTTGTGCGCAGGAGGCAATATATGGAAGTTTTCTCACGAAGTTAGCATTTGCATTCGCCCTAACTCGACCGCCTTCCTCATTCACAGAATATTTTCTAAGGCGTCATGCCGTTGTTTATAGCGATGAAAATCTTGGGAAGAATGGCATTACCGACAAAGACAAGGGGGATTGGAATGGCCATTTCAGTCTTATTAGCCGTCGTCAGCCAGTCACACCCAACCCCGAAGTGTGGAACACCCGAGGCTCGAAATCGCGACCTGTTAGCTAGAAGTCCAATGACTCTATCCACTGGATCACGGGGCCGTTGTCCTGTCGGTTTCGACTGGGAATATACGATGGTGTCATACACTTCGGGGTTGGGTATGACTGGTTGACGACGGCTACTAAGCCAGAAATGGCCATTCCAGTCTCCCTTGTCTTTGTCGGTAATGCCACTCTGCCTATATCATGCGCCGCTGCGTGGCTGCTGGTTGGACTCGAGAGAGAGCCCGTAAAGCACAACGGAAAGAGAGAGTTCCGTAAGAACGATCGGTGAGCGCCCCTTTACCGGTGAGTATCTTGCCCCTCAGTCGAATCCCGAATATCCATTATATGTTGAAATACGAGAAGGTGATTATACCCTCAAGTTCGGTCTGGCGATCGGGTTGATATCGAGCCGAAAATTGAAAGTGGATGTCTTACAAGATGATCAGTAAAAATCACCAGCGTTAGAGAGGAAAGTAGATCAAGTGGAGAAGTACTTCTAGGAATTTCGGTCTGGGCAGCGACTCGGGACAGAAGACTACATACCTGTGCATAACAGGGGTTGCTTGTCACACAAAATGCCAACAACGGCAATTGAGAAGCTCCACTAACACGATGCTGAAACACGACAGGGAAGACAGGCATCAACGAAACCACTTACCAAGTCGTTTTTGTTCGCACTTGGTTGAGTGGTCGGAGGGGGTGGGTCGGTGAGGTCGTTGTGAAGGAGGCGCTAGAAAGTTAAAACAAAATGGTGAGCAGCAGGAATTGCTGTGGCAGAAAAAGTACGCATTAAGCAACATGGGACTTGGTGGCAAGCTTTACCTGCCTTCTACGCGGACTTGAAAACAAGAGCGCACAAGCCGTTCGGGACTCCATGGCATCAGAGAATAATTGTTCCTCTATCGCATCCGGAGAGGCAGCAGCCACTTGAGTGTGGTTCGGATTTTAGCGAAAACTGGTACACTGTCAACCTCGCTACCTCTACGCGAAATTTACAGGAAGTGCTAATTTACTAGGTATAAAGTACTCGCCTACGCACGTAGTGCGCGTGTTAGTCCCTGAACACATGCGAGGCCGACACCACGCGAAGCTCACACCTGTGAGAATTGCCATGAGGACGTATTAAGAGCGATTACAACCTGACCTTCGGTCCCGATGACTGAGGTATGCCGTTGGTCGACAACCTAAGACACTACTGCTGACATGCCAATGGTTCAGAGGCGCGTCAAATCAAGTGGTACAAAAAATTTGCGTAGCAGGATTATTGACCACTACATCCTTTTAAATTTGTATCAGTTGTTAGTTAGAGCTAATTCGACTGAAGATTGGACGGAGCGCAGTGGCTGAGTCGACAAAAAGCCGTCTCTTGAGTGCCAAACATCGGTACGGCCTGGAACGATCGTGCCTCAGGTGTCGTGAGTCAGAAAGTGTACATACGAGGCAGTATTTGACATAAAAACAAATAGAGACCTTACATTGTCAGAAGACGGTTGCTGCGAGAGAATCGATAGCTCGGGGAGGGGGGTGACGGCTTGATTTCGTCTGGTAGATAAATTTTTCTACCTGTGTGAGTTCCCCATTTCTCTTTTGTCGTTAGAATAAATTGCAGACTATGTCAAGTGTCTGACGTATAATCGAATATGGTTCACAAACGTGAAATATTGGGCTGCATATCGTGTAGCCGCGCGGTCTTGTGATCACAGGAGGGGCTGGCACGAACTATTCTGATTTATTAGAGTACTGTCACGGAGGGGGGAAAGCGTGCGATCGACGCTTCGACGTAACTCACCACAAGAAGACTGCTTCTTCCCGGACCGCAGACACAGGGGGAAGAGTTGGGTGTGGTTAGTTCCTGGTCCAACGGACTGCCTGAGAGGTTGTGAACGGTGCCGTCACCTGAATGGTAAGAGGCGGAAGCAGCAGTCATGGGGGCTGAGCTTTCAGCAAAAGGGGAGTGAGGCTCCGAGCTGAAATCGAAGACAAGTGACTTGATAGATGAGCTGCTGTTGTAGGGCTGCACATTAGGAGTTTTTGGAGTCAATAGGCTGGCGGTCGAACTGCGACCTGAGGCCGGGGGCGAAGGCCAGCCGACGCAGGCTCCGTAGTCTCGCTTGGTCGTACAGGCCTCCGAGGCGTTCCTTTGACGGATGGTGGTGCTGCTACCGCCGCGAAACGTAGGAGAGGTCAGTCGACAATCCACATAGCCTGAGAGCAGGGACTCGAGGACGCCCGAATTAGAACTGGTGGAGGCTGCAGAGCTGATAGAACCAAGCTCGTAGGACGAGACAGACTGGCGCTTGTTAAGGGCGGCTGATGACTGCTGAAGGTTCGCGTGGGCGTAAGAGATAGACGAGACTTGGTCGAGGTTGGTCGAAGTCCCAGGGGACGACCGCTGGCTCAGAGGAACAGAGTATGGCAGGGGCTGATTGGTATTTGACTGCAATAAAAAGTGAGGACCCGATAATGATTTTTGAAATAGAAACCCCGCAACACTCTGCTGAGTCAATGCCCAACAAAAATCAATAAGGTACAGGCAAGAGACGAGAGGTGAACTACGACTGTTTGGATAATCCGGATGGGAAGCAGGTCTGACCGTCAACAAGATGCTGACAACCCGGAACGTTCAGAGATGGTGGACAGTGGAATGACCTGCAGTGAAGGCGATAGGCAAGATATGTACTTACTGTCCCATGGGTATGAAAGCGCGGACCGGCGGGAGGTGTGATACAGGAACGTGCACGGTTGGCGTCTGACATAATACTTACTGTGCTATAAAATGCTGCAGTCTGAGGTTGGCAGTTTGGCATGGTGGTCGTAAAACACCACTAAATATGTTTCCTTTTGCCACTGCTACCTTGCAGTTAGGTTCCGGTGAGTGTAAGCGCTAAGAGACAAGTTCGGACGGGCAATCCAAGCGTTCGGGGACCGTCTGCGTAGAAAAGTCCCAAGACAGCCTGTGAAAATAGAGGCTGGGTAGGTCGAAAATGGTCAAAAGTTTGAAGAGTAAGATTTGGATGATAGTTCGGCCGTCACAAACTGCACCGGCTAACGGCATGCTGTCTTGGTTTAAAGCGCGTTAGATTGTGAGGACCTAGGCGCTTGGTCTGGGCTGGATCAGATTGCCTGTTCGAGATGGGCACAAAATTTGGCGCAGTGGCCGATATGAGTACAATCACCATTTAATGCGTGTGACACGCGGTAAGGTCGATGGCGGTGGGCTGAAATGGGCTGCCAAATCAAGACTTCAAATGCTCCGATCGGAATGGACAGCTTAAAGAGGTGAGTTACAAAAGTGCCCTCAAAACGAAACAATCAAAAAACTACGTAATGCGACAGCAAGTAAGGCATTACGCGGCTTTCAAAGCAAACTAACTTCTGAATGTTTCGCTCCTGCTGCAAAGTGCAATTTCTCAGAACTCTATGTTGGTCACTGGTAAACATAGTATACTCGGGACGGTGTAATGTAGGCAGCGAAAGGAATTCAAAATTTTGCCAATTTTCTATAATTCTCTTCAGAAAGGGAGATCACGCGTGTTAGCAAACTACACAAGTTGTGGCTGAAGTAGCATGCGGATACCTGCCACCATATATCCTTTAGGGAATAAATTAAAGGCATTTCCCTCTAAGCGGAATCTCTGCTACCTTCCACTCAGTTTGCAGATTTGTCAATCCAGAAATCTAGGCAGACTGTTGTGAGTGGGTAACCTTGCATACTATGTTTCAAACAAGAGGTTTTTTGCACAGATAGTCCCAATATCATACTTTGCATAGTGGACTAATATTAAGAGTCAGGCCTTAGAGAGTACCAATAAAATTTCAGGAAAGTTAAAGAGTCGAAGAGGAGTTTATTGCGTGTAGTCAGTTCCCCTCAAGATGCCTTTCGCAATCCCAATGGCCAAAACAGCTTTTTGGTAGGCCGAAAATATTTCGGCCTAATCGCAGGGGGAAAGGAAGAGTGAATACTCCGAAGTGACTTTTATAAAGTCGACAAAATAAGATACTAGGAGAAAAACCACTTGTGCAGCAAAATACCGATAAGGCGATGGTTGCGTGGGCAGCAGTGCTTAACAGCTCGACCGTCGTGCCGGACTATGTTCCCCGTGTACTCCACACTAAGGTGAAACAGACACAGAGACTTGCTCGTGAATTGGTTTATAGTGAGAGCAGACTTGCGTAGCGTCTCACGCACTCGCTCCTCCCTCCGCCCCACCTGGGCCCGGTGTCAGGACATAGTCAGGAAGACCGGAGGCGGGAGAGGATGCAGGTGGTTGGCACGGTCGGACTCGCACCCAGGCGTACCACTACACCCCCGCGTCCACAACACTTGACCAGGATTTCTACTAAAAACGACACAACAATGTGTCAGAAGACGCGGATGACTGGGCAGCCATGCTCAAGACCTGTATACCCAGCGGGAGCGCAAACGCATCTACTGGCAGGGAACCAGGTGACAGAGAACGTTCAGCGCACAACAAGATGCGAGAACAACGGTTTGCTGAAAAATGGCATTGCAGGCACTCGTAAACCCTACGGCCACAGCAGTGCTTAATACCACACTGGCAAACACATACCGGAGAGTGCTGCAACCTCATGCATAAACGGAAGTCAGGCACGTATGCGATCAAGTCGGCCACTTCATTCAATCTAGTCTCCACTCGGCTAGATTGAGCCCTATCATTAACAGGCAACGATAACGATATGTGTGAGGCCGATCCAACGCTACCTCTCTTCACTAATGGAAATCTGATGCGTTTCACAGCGATTGTGGCACCCTAAACGGCATAGTTGAGGAGGCTTCCAAGGGGCGGAGAACCCGGCTCTGGGACTGAGAGTCAAGTAACGAAAGCTCATTTTGATGTGGCCCTATTATAATCCTCACTGGCGTGATATCCGAGAGGGTGATATCGATTTCACGTGGATTGACTGACGCGTACGCTAGTGGTACACCCAGGCCAGGTCTGTTCTATCATCCATTTCGGACTTGCCACCAACAGACGTTTAACAAGAGAGGTGCATAAAAGCGAAAAAAAGTTACCGGGCAGAATGGTGTAGATTCTTTGGTCGAAGGTCGACCAGCTGAGGTGAGCGCTGAGGTCTCGCAAACTTCTGTGCATCGGGGAGTAAGCGTGAGCTCGGATACCAGAGATTGACGGTGCTGTAGACGTGGCTGAGGGGCGTTTTTGAATATCCGTGTCGTAGAAACCAGGCTCGGAGTGGAGGAACAGGAAGAGGACGTTGAACATGACATTGTCGATTTTGCAATTACTGGAGCTTGGGAGAGAGAGAGAGAGAAGGGCCGTTAAACAAACAAGTACCCTGGGTTGAATGATGACAAGCAAGATTACTATCGCGCATTGTAGCATGTGGACTTGAAGGAGGAAACCGCTGGTCTACGTGGACATTGTAGCAGGCACTGTAAACGACAACGATAATCGTAGAAAATTTAAGTGAACTAGTAAATAGACTGGTTCCTCAAATAAAGACGCAAACCGGGCTGAGGTTAGATATAAGCTCGAGCACATGCGAAAACATATGGCAAAATTATTTCGGAATTGTCGACTCCTCATTAGACGCGCATCGTTATTTAGTTGCGTGTTCGCAAGACTCGCAAAATACCAGCTCCAATAATTGTCCCTTGAGTCGGATGAAACCCTCCACTATGCCGAGGGAAGCGGTGACAGTCTGTTCATGAATCTGACTATAATAAGGAAGACGTGCATGACCTCGACCCTACTCGCTCTTCGCACATGCATCACGTTCCAGTGACAAGTCTAGGTTAATGCGACTGGAAACCAGCAACGCTCATGCTTGTCCCTCACGCTGGGCTAAAACTGCGAACCCCACACGGGCGTGATGCCATGAAGCCATGATAGGTAAGGGCCACTGCAATCTGGCTCTCCCGAGCATCTGGAAACCTTTGCAGATGCGACCCCTAAGGTGCCGTGATAGCTCGAAGGCACGTTATAACTTCCCACTCCACGCATAAGTGCAGGTTAACACCCACACGAATGGCGCATTGGGTTAACTGATTCTTTACAAAGAAGTGGCAATAAAAGTACGATTAGTAAAGAAACGTGCAACCTACTTGATTCGGTTGGGCTTCGATACGCGCAGGGGGAAGCGGAGTGGGAAGCTCGGGGTAACAAGGGACTCGCCTCGCTGGTTGTTGACTGGAAAAATCTAGCGAGGGATCCTGGGCCTAAGTATCGGACGAGGATGGCGTGGACACGGTGGGCAATAGTCTCTGTGTCCGTGGGGTGCTTCTCGCTGCTGTTAAGAGTCGCGGAGTCCGAGGAGGCACGATTCTCACTGCTAGCACAACCGGTGTTCTCACAGGCCCGCCGAATTTGCTCGATTACTTCGGGCGGTAAGAGGCTAACCACCAGTGACACCCTGAAAAGGGAACAATGCAAAGCGAAAACGCTATAGAAAGCAATGCCAACAGATGAAAATTCAGTTGACCAACACTAAGGGATTTTAGGCGGCAAGGCCTTGTTCGGTGCCTCAACGGGCGTCCCTAATTTACGGGGTTACATCCATACCAGCTGCAACTTAGAAGTGATGAGGTAGTGAAGACGAATCTAACTCAAACGCCCTCAGAAAAGATACACTTTTACTGTCTGCAAGTTCGCCGCGGACTTTTCCAAGATTTCGCAACCTCGGAGGTTGAACTAATATCGCTTCTTTTATGGAAAGCGGTAATGATGGCAGTAGTGGTAGCTGCAGCAACAGCAGCAGCAGCGGAGCACCAGTAGTGGTAGCATCAGCAGTGGTAGTAGTGGTAATAGTAGTAGTAGTGGTAGTAGTAGTAGTAGTAGTAGTAGTAGTAGTAGTAGTAGTAGTAGTAGTGGTGGTAGCAGCAGTAGCGGTGATAGCAGTACTAGTAGTGGCAGTAGTGGTGGTAGTGGTAGTAACAGTAGTGGTGGTAGCAGTAGTGGTAGTGGTAGTAGTAGTAGTAGTAGTAGTAGCAGTAGTAGTAGTAGTAGTAGTAGTAGTAGTAGTAGTAGTGGTAGTAGTAGATACGGCTTCCGCTGCTGGTACAAAACATACTACGAGTCACATGATCACCACTTTCGAGCGGATGGAACATGCGCATATCCAGCTCCGACGATAGCCAACCATAGGCGTGCATAAATTCAGGAATCATCCAATCAACTGACTAAGCTGACACCGACTAGATCTTGCGTAAGAAGCACACTTGGTCACGTGCGAGCGGAATCACCCTTGCGGAGGCACGCGCGCAAACCTATGGTTGACGGCGCATTGAAGGCTCAGATCGCTATCAGGCTTATGTGCAGAAAAACGCCTACTACTGATGCTTTTTCTCCTAAGTGGGACCGGGTTCTAGAATCGCAGCCACTAGGACATGGCCATTATCCTAGCTGAAACAGCAGTCATTACATTACAGTAGTTGCATTTATACAAATGAAATGCCATAAAAGTACAATATTTTACTTTGATGCCACCCGTATTGTGTCAAAGGCTTCTCAACAGTTACATGCATTAAAGTTCTTATGAAGTGAAACTGGAGTAATAAAAGTGCGTCCAGCCAACATTTAGTGTTGCCGGTCAGGAGCGCACGTGTTTGGCGCCTGGAGTGAAGAGGGATCGACACTTTTAAAACTTGCGGAGGCTGAGGTAGGTCGTGCGACCAAAGTTACACGAGGGCAACTCTAGAAGCATAGGCTGACACGACTTCGCTCGTGACGTTGCATCAGTCTGTCGCCAGAGACCATGTAAAAGCAGACCGGTCAGAATACGATTTCACAGCACTGCCTGAGACAAGTCAAAGTTCATTAAAGCGGCCCACGAAACGTATATCAACTACGAGCCAAAGCACGATCTGCGCTGACAAACTGCGAGTCCCACCGCCAACAGCATACTTGTTAGTAATAAGTCCATCTGATCCGGTTGCCTAAGATTCCAGCCCTCTGGAATGCCACCGTCAACTTACTAATTCCGAGTGACGGCGTGCATTAAATAGGTGTGAAACTCCGAGCAAAGAAGCAGCACCTACTTCAACTGCAGACACAGCTAGGGTTCTTGTCTTGAATGTCCTCACCTGTCTGTTTGGTTCCCGAGGCGTGCTAGTGCACCCTTAATGGAGCACTGTGACAGGTCGGTTGCGGCCCGTGGACGGAAGGAGGGCTGTGGCCAGGGATCGGGCACCGTCTTCAATAAACTCTGCATCGCGGGTTTGGACGCGGCATTCTCGCAGGGGGGAGCGGCTGGAGAAGGAAGAGTTGTCAGAGCTTTTTGTCAAAAGCAGTAAGGACACATAAGGTCAAATGGCATAATACAAGCCTCGATCTCTGTGTGAGCGTGAGGGAGAAAGCAGGCAATGTAAATCTACACACTCGAAAGAAAATCGGAGATCAATATGCGAGCTTGGCAGTCGTAGTTGAATAATGATATGCAAAGGAGATAATGCTAGAAAGTTCTCGTGATGACAAACATCGCGTCCACCTTCAGCGTTCCTATTTTATGTGGCTGTGACAGCTGTCATTGTTAGGATTTTACATGAGAATTGGTCCGAAAATCTACTTACTCGGATAATGACTAGTGTTCATCCCAAAAAATTCGGTGAAATAATTATGCATCGGTCACACTAGCCGACAGGGATTCAAAGGAGGCTTTATGCATCATTGCTTCGGGAATCGATCCACTCATTACTGGCTGTTTCAAACGTCAAGAAAAAAAGGCGTCCTGCGTTTTAAACCCTATCCAGGAATAGCTGAATTTACTAACAAAAAATCGCTCCTAGCCAATGTTTTGATTATTAAATCCTTAACTTAGAAAGTGAATCTAAGTCGGGAAGGATTGTGTGCAAAAGTATATACTTGCTTTTGGGAATTTAATAAAGGATAATGGGGCCTGGTTTGTGAGAAAAGCACTCGCGTCTTCACATCTCGCCAACTGGGAGGATTTTTGGACAAAAACCGTACAGTGGGGAGTGTCGAGAATTATTTGCTGGCGTCCCTGCGAGGCAGGCTGTGAAATCGAGTCACCTACCGTCAAAATTCGCGCCGGATGCTTCACGCCAGCGAAGTTCGCCAGCTGTCCAGGGCAATCGATGGTTCCTTCTTACTAACTGGTAAGGTGAGTCTACTTCACCTTTCGTTTGGTCTCTCCTCAGAGGAACAAGGGCAAGCATTGCGCAATTCCTCAGACGTCCGAACTTCCCTCGAGTTGGCAAAAAAACTGACTTAAGTAATTCACAGAGATGGCGGACGTGACGTTAGGTGCTCAGGGCTGAAACGTCCAATGTATGCTTCGGAGGTCGGTGGTTTGTGTCCCCCTCGTAGCGGCCGTTTTTTTCCTGGTATGAATTTCTCGAGTCTCCAGTCAGCCCAAGCAGTTATTGCTTTTGTTTCTCCGGCCTAATCGCCGAATGTCCACCACCACAGAGTTACCACTACGGCTACTTTGCCTTCAATGAATAGTCGAAAAAGTCCAAAGTAACACATCATAGCATCTCATACGGTTCTGGAATGAGATAACTCAAAGTCTTGTCGATGCATCTACGTCCCCAATACGAAACGCGACTATCCTGACGGCAAAGGCCGAACCAGGTTTTGAACTGATATCCTTTCCAACACCTCCAGATGGGCTACGACGCTGGATCGATGGCAGAAACAACGAACTCCTGAGGCAGACCACGAAGAGCGTGTCAAAACCACCACAGTAGTCTTTCTTGGGTGTCCTGAGACACCCCGCAATGATGCCGCTGTGAGTGATGACTGTTTCATTCGAAAACAAGTCGATGTATTCGAGTTGAAGGATGGTTATCAGGCAACGGTGGTCAGGCGTCTCCAGTTTCTGCCCGTTTTTAAGCTCACGGTTCAGCATCTCTACGACCGTACCGTGGGATTGACGTGAACGGATGCTCCGCAAATACGGATCTTAGCAGTGATAGAGATATCGCGTCGGTCCACGGGACTGTAAAAACCTGTAAAACCTTCATTCTCTGATGATGCACTCCAAGGTGAGCTCGAAGTGTCACAGAAGCAAAGTTATCCCTCCGATTGCAGGAGCATTCCCTTCTGAAATGACGCCTAGGACACAGCCTTTCGCTTCCATCAGAACAAACTTCAAATTCAAGTAAACATGAGTCTCCGGACTGAGCCACATTAGCAAAGAAAAGGTGAGGTGACGTTGATGCATCATACAATAAGTACGCCGCCCTATTAAAGTGAAGATTACACGTAAAGTCATAAAACTGAATTCGGTAAATGGTGCTGTAACACGGCCTTCTGCATAAAGCATACCGCTTACAGAGACACAAGACTGCGAGGAGGGTGGCCTGGCAGTGCACGTGCACATGGTGTTCGCACCTAGGGGAGTAGTAAATAAAGAGGTCGACAACCGTAATTAGAAATTTTGCGTCGTCTCTGCGCAAGCATAAGCACTGTCGTCTCGGTCTGACAAGACCACCCTGCAGTGCTCCAGGAAAGTGGCCACTTTTGCTCAGAAAAACGTTTTGTTTTTGCAGATGTACTGGCGTCGAGAGAAGTAGTGCCTCATGTCGACAAGGCGATAAACTTGACGACAGGGAAGTAAATGGGACAAATAAACGACCTTCAAGTGAGTGACAAATCGGGGCCGTTGTCTCAAAAGGTCTGGTGCTAACTTCAGTATCAAAGTATGTCCAAAGTGGTCGTCTTCGGTACTTGCTGGCGACCGCTGAGGCAGATGTCAAAAGCCGCAGACGCTTTCTGACTGAGTAAAAAATGCATGCTCTCTTGCAAGAAGGCACCTTCAGGCGTTCTCCACTGCATGCCGAAACTGGGACGCAGTTTGACCTCACGGTCCACGACTCTTATATCTCAAGTATTGTCAACAGATGGACAGAATGCCGTTGAGTCCTTCCACTTTATCTCTCGTTGTTTTTGCCTAGTCTTGTCGCTGTTACGGGATTTGAAAGGGGAAACAGGGTGGGGCCGAAAGCTGTGTTTTTTCTTCTCCCATTCATCTATATGACAAACCCTTAATCGGTGACGGCGTCTCAATTAACAGAATAACTCAGCGCACTATTGGAGGGAGTTAGCTCGCTAGGTTTGTTTAATGCGTTCATTATGTACTCCCATTTACTTGAAACCCGAGATCCCGGCTTTGCCTGAGGCCTGGTTCATGGAGAGTAAAGGGAGAGGTCGTGCGCGGCGCGCCTTTAAGGTTCATTGAGTTTCCTCAGCCAACCCATCAACACCCGTCTTGATTTTGTCCTGTCATTGTAACAAACGAAGCATGAAAATGCAAGTAGGTGTCGGGCAAGTCTGCCTTACTGTAAACAAGTTCATGCACAAGTCACCACCGCGCCCTCCTCGAAACAGTGAGAGACCTCGCGGATGGCTAGGATCAAACAATCCGTTGTCGGCTGATGGGTCAGCCATGCCGTGGCACTCAAGGACTCTAGGGCAGTAATTGCATATACGAGTAATCTTGAGTTAGATTTGCCACTAGCAGAAGATGAAATGCCGAATGCGCTAGTGACTTTGAACCTGCGCAAGCTACCATGATTCTCTCGCCTAATTGCAGTCGGTCAGTGGCAAACCCCTATACAAAGTTGAGCCAGTTGGCATAACGCACCCGCCTACTTGTGCACGCGGTCAGCTCTAACCACGTGCACCTACGTCTTCCGTTGGCCAACTTGAGGTCGTAACTAGGCCGGGTAGGGTGGGCCGACGTTTTCGTTTTCGGAATGAAAAAGAAGTTGTCGAGCCAATTAAATCGGGTAGTTGGTGAGGGAGCAGTAGATGCGCTGAGCATTTGACCGACTACGCAGGCGTTAATTACAGACGTGGTAAAAGACTGGAACGATAGAACAACTTATATAGTGTAAATCTACCGAGCACGCGGGCCATTTCTTACACCCTTACAGAAGGGTTGTCTTCGCGGAGGCACCTGACACTCACAGCTTCCTTCTCTGACTGACCTCACAGCAAATCCAGAGGTCTCGGACAAGTCGGAAAAAGGCCATGCGCTCTTGGTTGATAACATGGGTGATTTCACATCCACCCAACCCACTGTGCAAAAACACCGCCCCAAAATAACAAGGGACACGCATCAGTCCACGAGATAGACTGTCTATTCACACCCAACAGACATTGCCGGCCGAAGAACTCCCAGGTCATTCACTTCATCCTAAAGAAATCCATTTTCAAGCCTACTTCACCCGCATTCGCATCAACCTGAGGCCCCGCAGGTTGCATTTCTACAAGGGACCCCGTCAGCACCGCAATCTTGCCGGCGTAGTCAACGCGCATAATTCATTGGTTACTGCCCAGAGGTCCACTAGTGCGTAATGGAGGGCAGTCTACAGCACATTTGAAAAGAGGAGATGCAATACTGCGGTCATGACGGATGCTAAGTAAGCCACTCTCCCCATCACCCACACGCGCTTCGGATCTCTTCTTGTGATTGTAGAGACAGCAGTTTACAGTACCATTGCGGTGAAATGATTGGAGGCAGTCATATGGAAGTCCGCGGCAGTGGCAGAATCATTCAGACGGTCAGCATTATGCTTCCTCGCAAGTTGAACTCCCTTCAGATAAACCACCCCACATACTCTGAAACGATCAGAACTAGCCAACGGCCGCGACTTGGAATGCCGCCAAGTAACGAATCAACTCGGTCCTACTTATGACTGAAGGTCAGATTGCAGTAGATCATTCATAATGCTCGCTTCATGGCATTCCCACTTGCACGAGATTCGGCACACACCACTTGAAATGGAGCCCGACACCAGTGAAGTGAGGAACCATGTCACGGGTGGCACACGTAGGTAGGCCCTTTTATTTCGTCAGACACCGCGCCCACGCCCATCCCCAGTTTTCTTGTCGCCACAACGCGGTTGGACTATGAAGTCAATGAGGTAGCTGAAGTGTGACTCTGTTCACTATAAACAGATTCACTGACAAGTCACAGCTGCGCCAACCTCTTTAGGAGGTGGTGCGCCTCGTCGTTTGCTACTGCATCACAGGTGCGATGCGAAACGAACACAGGATTTTATCAGTCTTTTCTAAAATTACCCTCATGAACGCAGACCACCAGTGGTGGGTGGATATGACGGTGCTGGTCGCTGGTTTTGTGTGTGAACACCGTCCATCAATCAGCCCGCTGATGTGTATGATTGCGGTTGCCGGGGCCACTGACTGTTCCAAGCACCAAGGCCGCAGGGAGTCTTAGGGAGGGGAACTTAGCTTTGAAATGTCAATCAGAGTGCTGTGGTTAAAATATGTTCCGAACCTCTGTTCCGGCGCTGTGGGGCATTCAATATAGTTGTTTAAAATGTCCTACGGATCTGCGTCCTTCGCAAAGGGAGCCATCGAAATCTCAACAGTCTTTATGGGGCCTGCATGTTAACGCCGAATGTGGAGTACGGGCGAGAGTCTGACGGCAGCATTCCATGAAAACATATGGTGTGACAGGAATCTGCTGCGGACTGTTTTAACTTTGTGGCGGGCGCTCCGACTCCAACTTCCTGCGCTATTAGGAAGAAGGGGGTGCATCAACGAACTCGACAACGACTGTACTGTAGTGTTGAATAAAGCTGTATTCGAGCGGTAAAGAGCTCTTGACACTTTTTTGGGGAATTAACTCGTAAAATTGTCTTGTTGGCCAGTTTGTGGCAAGAATTTCTTCCAAAGCGCAGTAGGAAATGCAAAGGCACCACTTGTGTGTTCAGTCAATGATAAACGTGACTTCAAAACATCTAAGTATCGAGAACTGAGTATTAGACCAATCGCTAATGCTACCAGTGATAAACTTAAGGAACGTTGAAAAAGCTTGTCAAGATGCAGCAAGAAAAAGGGGCAATCGATATTGTATTCTTCTTTCATAATATGAACGTTACAAGAGTCTTAGTAAATTGGCATACCGTTGTGCACTTCAAATTGGGGAAATCGGAAGAGCCAAACTGAAGGAAAATACGCGGCTTAACGAAATAGACTTCAACACAAAAGTTGTGTTACCTAGTGCGCATGGATGCCACCTCGCGTGCTTTTAAAACTACAACAATCTCCTCGATTGACGCTGCAAGTAATGACTACTTGTAAAGGCTAAAAAACCAAATGGGTGCCATGGGCAAGCGTCCTCGAGGTCACCCTAGATCTAAGACTGAAACGATAAAGATGTTGGGGAGGAGAGTAAAAATCCTCACCTATTAGCCTACTCAACAGACCACAGGTAGTGCGCAAGGTGGGACTACCGGTGAAAATGGTGAAGTACAAGCAATCATCATCCGAAAAATTAGTGTTTATAATTTCAGATTTTAAGAATGGTCGTGAGAGGTCTGGTGCAAACAGCCATCGGGGAAACGAAAACTGAAAGAGCACTTACAGGCGGATTTCGAGGACGGCGAAGCGTGACTGTGATTGGGGGAATTGACCTGTTCCAGCCAATTGCCTTCCGTTGGGGGAAGTTTTGGACTGTTGGCAGATGTTTGACGGCGAGAAGTCCTGTTGCTAACCGAGTCTAATGAGGACGCGGAGGTCTGATGTTGTTGGGTGTGGTGCTGCCTGTGATGACCGTGCCGTTCCTCAAGTCTGTCTTCCGGAAAGTAAACAGAGTTCTCTGCGGAGCCTGCCACCCGCTGCGGTTGAATATAGTTCATATAAGTAGACCGCGATGGCGAAGTCACGACCACTGGGCTTGATGAGTGGGCCGTCCCCAACTGCGTGGGATCAGCATCAAGACCAGGCTGTTTAAAAAAAACACAAGGATGAGTCCGTACTTGAAGAACAGGAGGAAATCCCGCTGGGTGGAGTCGTGCGAAATAAGGCTACGGGAAACGGGAGTCCTTCGACTAAAGAGTATCAGTAATCTAACAAATCCTGCGGCGCTAATTTAACTGCGAGACAACGACCATTAAGTCAGTCGACACTATAACACGTGCGCACGCGCACAGTGCATGTCCGTATGTCTACACCGTTAGACAGAACACGTGTGGTTTGCAGTAGGAGCGCTCCGATTGGTTAGAGCGTGAAGTGAGACAAACAAACATGCAGCGTCAATTCACAATGCAGGCGGCGCATGTCAACATGATTTGGCAAGTGTGCAACTTCAACCTCAAACAGCGTTGCATCACAGGTAAAAAATGATATGATAAGGCCAGCCGGATATAAATCTTTCCTAGGATATTGTTCATGTGGCAGAAGATACCAACTTCTTGCCTTAGTTTGGGCCGGAACACGGGGACGTGCTGACGTCTGACTAGCCAACCTTTGCTCATAAATTACACCACTTAAGCAGTGTGTAGAGTTTCCATTGGGTTTTTTCACTTCTGCATAAATGGCAACACATTTCCCAAACACTATGCTGATTATAGGGGAGTGTGCTTTCTTCAATTTCGACATTACAACTTCGAGGAATTTTGCAACTGTAGTAATCTGCCGGACACCAAGACGACAATTCATGTAACCTACTATTCTTACTTTTATTCAGGTTGCTCAAGAATTGCGTAACCTAAGATATAGGTTGTAACGCCAACCGATTGCCCTGAGCAAATTCTATCTCATTAAACACTGTTCCGTTTTTCATTTTAGCTCTAAGGTGTCAGTTGTAAGAATGATAAGGCCCAATTTTCGGGCACCCCTTCGTTCTGATCCATCCATCTTATGTTGTTCGTGTTATTTCACTAGCGTGCTTGGGGCAATGCCGATTACAACACAGGTAGTGTTTTCTGGGATTACAAAAACTGCGGGCAGTTTATGAAATCCATGCAAGTGGATGTATACATGCGTGGATGTGAAATACACAAATATTTTGCGTCAAAAAAATACTGATCACTGACAGATCTGCAGGCGGCTTGCGCTCGCAAAAAAATGTGGACGACTATCGAAAATATAATTGGTCAGGTAGTTACGTTCCAACATACAGCAATTCGCAATTTCTGCCACTAACAAAGTCAGCACCACTGCTTTCCTTGGACTGTCGTTTACGTGGCTTCTGTCCCTGCCCCTCCTCTTCCTCCTCCTCCTCCTTCTAAGAGGGGAAACTGAGGAAATAGAATAACCAAACTCCAGACGTTTAGCAGGAAATATTTTGGACATCGTTAATTTCTATCAGTCAAACGACGTGTGCAAAGCCTTTTTATCACGCATAATGTGCCTTTAAATTGCTTCGTAAACAAAAGGCAGGACAATAAGGTGACAATCGGCATTTTCAAGTACCCAGGCGATTTGGTGTGTTAACAAGTGTTTTAAGCCAAGCATGTATATTTATGTGCATACTCCTGCTAACAGGCATTTACATAAGCTGTAAAGGTAGACAAGAACGTCGTCTCGCTCGATAGTTAACTTGTGTCAGCGGGAATCAAAAAAGGTGAAGCGCGAATGACCACGTCGGTTTAGAAAAGAACAGACACGTTTTCGGACTCCGAAACTAGAATTTGTGAAGTAAAAAAACATGGTGTCCCAAAACTCGCTAACAAAAAGTGCTGGTAAACAATGCCCCGTTGTACCAAACCGGTAACTTTCAAATGCAAACAAACAGTCTGAGAGCACCCAAGAAATTTTACCACGTGTTTGTCACGCTGATTTCTGGATACGTGAAGCTGTTTATTCGCGTCTTACTTTCAGCTCATACGTACCTGACAAACGGGGGGGTACTGTATGAATCGTTTGAGAAGCACTAAAGTAGTAATGCAGGCCCCCAATGAACTAAAATATCCTACAATAAACAAAACAAAAAGCTTTTCGTCTGCTGAACGAAGCTCGTATCCTGTCAGGCAAGCGCATGTACGGTGAATACTTATCAATGTCCCCTCTGACTGCCTAAGAAATGAAAGACGGCGGCCTTTATGAGTGAAATGAGGTAACAAACCACTTTTTCTAAGTGGAAGACCAATAAGAGAATGCGGCTCATTCTTTGAAGAGTATCTAGATATACGCATGTATGCAGAAGACGGAATGGCCATCGTTGAGTCAAAAGTTGCCCTTTCCTGAGGTTTCAAACTTTCACTGGGACTCATCGTCAAGGCTAATTAAAAAATTATAGGTCAGTCAGAATCCAAACATTTACGCTGGATGTGACGTTCAGTAAAGACATTGATTTGTTCTCGTAAGACGTGGTAGGCCGGAGGCAGACGGACATGTCTGCCGACAGAGTCCTTGCTTGAATGCCATACTCTGCAAAGGATGTGAGCTCCCGTTACCGGATAAACCCAGAGCCGCCGCGTGGTCTTACGAGCTGTGCCCTGGAGAGGATGGTCGAGCGGCCACCAAGGGATAGTCTGTCTTCCAGTCAGGCAGCAAGTTCCCGTTCATGCATTCTAGCCTGGACTTGTTTTTTGCAGCTGCATTGAATATGGTAAATTTTGACCGGTTGGTAGTGGACTCTTTGTAATGCGTGAGCTGTAGGCGAATTATCGCCTTCGACCTGTTTGCTACTCCAGTTTCAAGGTTGCACATTAGTTCGGCGAGTTCTATGGATGCGCCAGCATTGTGCAGCAGAACTCCGCCCTAGGCCTCGTTTTCGCACCATTCGCACTGACTTTATGCCTCCATTTCTCAACAAATTTTCCGGAGGTGTCCGTTGGTTGTAAATAACTTTTGGAGGTATCGTTCTCCAGCCTTTGTCGTTCGGCTGGTTGTAAGCGTCTCAGCATAGTAGTGAGTTTTCCTGCAGCTGCATCTGTTTGAAACGGGCTGGTCGCTGGGGTTCTTAGGATAATGAAGGTATTGGTTGCCTTTCTGTCAACGGTTGCTTTAAGCTCCCCGCCAGTTTGTCATAGGGCTAACTGTGAAGTTGACGTCTGGAAGGGACTCAATTCCGATGCCAAGTAAAGTTTTCAGTCATTTCCCGTTTGGTAACGTACTGAAAACACAAGTTTGCACGGTAGTGGTCGACAACTGATGGTTATATTGGTTGATATACTAGATACTATACTAGACATACTAGACATACATGAAATATAAACTGAAATTTTGAAATGTGTTTTCAACTCCAAAAGGTTACCTAAGTAGGGTTTTCAGGTTAAATATCGTGCTGCACAACGCCAAGATATCTCAGTCACGTCAGGATGCCGGATTTTGGACGAGCTTCTTATCGGCTGCTTGCGTAAACTACATTCCGCAAGAATGGCTACTTAAGTAGCGTGAATTTTCCCCATTGATCTTCGATGCCCTTGCAAAGTCGAACATACTTTACAGAAATAAAATGTATGAAAATATTCCTACTTTTACCCATCTCGTAGGACGTTACATCTTCTTAAAGTTGTATGCTTAAAGAAGGAGTGCCATTCCGTTTTAAAAAAACTCTTAATTCCTGAATAATTTTGAACTCGGCCAGTACACTTGCATTCAGGGTTTCAAAACTGCAAGTCGTATACCTTCCGTGCAAGGGAAATCATACATTTCTAGGTGCTATCAAAAAGATGTCGTATAGGGCTCATAGAATTTTGCGATGGACGTGGACTGCGCTGTTGGCTTTATAAGCAGAAATAATAAATGTGCTTATGCGATGCTGTGTGGTCGGACATTGCACGCTCTTGAAAAATCTCATGGTTAGAGACTTTTTAAAACCGGAAAATACGCTTTCTTCGAGTATATGATTTAAGGTAGACGTAATTTGTCGTCAAATGAATAAAAGAAAGAACATTTTATGCATGGTTTCACTAAAATACATCTGAATCGAACATGGCATCAATGACAAAAATTCAAGCTACTTAAGTAGCCATTTTTACGGGATGTAGTTTACGCAGGCGGCCGATAAGAAGTCCGTTCTAAAGCCGGCATCCTGACGTAACAGGAATATCTTGGCATTATGTGACACGATAATTAACATGACAGCCCTACTTAATTAATCTTTTCAAAATGACGACGCATTTCAGAACTTCGGTTATTCCATGAGATAGCACATCTATTGTACCTCTTAAACGATGGGCTAGACGACAGAGAACCTATTCAAGTGGTCCCAACTTATTCGTGCGCAGCTCACCGACGGTGAAGAGAGTGAACAAGAGTTTTATTCGCCTGATGTTTCGGATCCTCGCTCGAACCCATCATCGGAAACGGTATGCATTCGCTATGCTACTGCATACCTATGATACTTACCGCTCTCCCCTTCATCGAGAATTGTTGCTCGCTAGAGCAGTGTCTGCAGGATGTCAGCGAGGTATCGGCTCCATTGCAGCGTGCTTCCAGCAGGGTTGGACAGTTTCAAATGCAAGATCTCCTGAGATCGTGGTGAAGGGTCACATCGAAAGACACCATCACCTCATCGGCTGCAAGTTCGGCGCATACGGCTTTTGTGGGAACTGTTCCGGCGGGCGAATGGGCGAGCATCGAAACGACCCCCTGGCCAGCACATATGTTGGGGTTGCGTCGGAAGTGCGATCGGACACAGTGCCATTTCCGGCTTGTCAACTTTGTCACTTTGGAAGGCCGCAGAATCTTGCGATCGCAGCAGCCTCGGGTTTCTTCTTTTGCCACTCGATCTTTTTTATTGCCCTTGCCTTTCGAAGCCCTAATACACCTCTGCTGATACCGACTTCATTTGGGTTATCTTCGCAAGAAACAGCTGCAATCGGGTAGTTGAGAAGTGACATGGCTTTGGTGACGTGGTCCTCTTTGTCCAGCAAGCTAAAGAACTAAATTGTCCCCACGTGACCGTGCCATGAGAGAAGGCTTTTCACTTCATAGCATATTAAAATATTAGACAAAAGCCATACCCGGGACAAGAATGATGTACAGCAAAAAGAAATTCAAACACTAGTCTTGGACAGCCAATCTCCACCCGACATCCAGTTTACCCAAAAAGACCCAAGAAAGTAAAATAATAAGATCTCCGAGACGACAAGAACCACAGAGAGGTTTGGTTACTGGCTTAGATGCGGGGTACCAAGCGTGTCCATCGACGATGGATAGGGGAATGCCCCTCGTCGATAGCTTGTTGCCAAATAAGCAGACCAGGGGTTGGCGAAAGTGGCCGCGGACCATGCAGTGCCCATACTTTCAGGCATGGTTAAGCACCGAGCTGATAACTGATTGTTTTTAAAAGGGTTCTAAACCACAAGGATATTATGAAATAGCGAATGTAAAACACCATCCAACGACGCTCCCATAGCCGCCGCCGTCTTACAAAGTAGGAACTTATCCGTAGGGCGGAAGGAACCGGTGACTCCATCTGCAATATCTTCAGCAAACTTCCAGGAACGCTAATAACTCATGTCATGAACGCCGATGTCGACCACATGAGTAGTGACGCTGGCCGGAACAACAGAACAACAAAGGTATAACCTGCGCAATCTAAACAGCAGGAGACAGGAAATGCAACTTTCGCGGTAGAACTTAATTGCCGACTCGCTGAAAGCATTAGGACCCAGCTTGTTTATGTCTACCGAAAAAATTTAGGGACGCGAGGCAATGCTTCGATCCATCTGTAAAATGCGTTCTGGGATCGTAACTCCTTTAAGTTCAATAAACTGAAATTTTCAAGTGAGCTACAGGAGTGGAAAGACGTTTGTCTTCCTAGAACATGCCAAAAATAGGATTCTCCCAAGTGTGCGCCAAAAAAGTCATAAGGTGGTACAGATAGGTGAGGTAGATAGAGCAGTCTCTGAACAGTTGTCTTACTATAAACAGATTTAGTCGTGGTAGTTCCAAAGAGAAAAGTAGAAAGGGCTAGAAAATGAGACGGTGGCCCAATCATTTGGGTGACTGAAGTCATTAAAATGACGCAACGAAAGTCTTCGGCAAACAGAACTGTATCCGACCGAGTTATCCACCCCTAAAGACACATGGCTAGAGCGCCACAAAGTGACCTCGAGAAGTGCTTTTCAATAAATACGCGTAATAACTACGACCGGCCAAAAATCTCCAGTTTTGCGAATTAATGGTACTGGTGTCTCGGTCGGGCGTTTGGGTGGGACGCCTAACAGCGCCTTGTGCAGAGATCGAGTGCTGGATGTAAGGTCGTGAGCCACAACGATCAAAACGATGCGAGATCATGTAGGTAGACCATGCCTAACAACCTGATAAGCTGGATGGCCACGAAACTAGCGCACAGGCAAGGGCCTATATAGAAAGCGCAGGAAAAATGGTCGAAAATTCCGAGCGCTCAAATGCTGTTCGTTGTTCAAAAGCATTTGATCTGGTGTTTGTTAGCTAGGATGTCCAGTCAGGCACCCTTACCTTGGGTGCGCGAACAATAAACAGTTGTGAGGAGAAAGTGAGATGTGTAAATGAAGTCGAATTTTGGAAAAAGCAGATGTTACTTACGTAGCGTTGATTTTCTGAAACGGAGTACGCTCCCATTCCCCTGGGCTCCATCGAAGGGTCCGCATTTGGAGCGCGGAAAAGAATTTGACTTGCTGAAGATCCACCAGGAAAAGGGTGATTACCGGCTCGGTAGTGAATAACATGCTTTGCCTCTGCTCCTGTTGCTGCATACGAAGGCACGTCAGCCGCATCCGGACGAGATGAAGTGGGTACTGAAGTGTCAGGAACACAAAGTTCACAATCTCTTGGTTGCTGTTGATGATGCTGCTGCTGCTGGGCGGGTCGATCCGAGAAACCGACTGACATCGCAGGACCGTCTGATGAGTTCAGAGGTCGGAAAAGAGAGGCAGTTTGGGAGGCGAAATTTGGCGTGTGACCTTCGAGTGAACTAGTCCGAGGAGCCGCCGACAACTGCATCTCTTCTTCCTCGTATTGGGGATAGGCGGTAGAAAATTCACTACTTGACAACAACAGATCGTCAGGGGCTGCCTTCAACTGCTTCATGGACTTCTCCGCCATGGAGGGCGACAGAGTCGAATTACATGGCGGCGCAGTGATGGACATCGGACGCCGACTTTCGGATTCACTTGTGCACTTACTAAAATTAACAAAGAGAAGGCATGTATTTGGTAAGCTCGGCTAGAACGGAGAGGTGGTGGTGAAAACATATATACATATAGGCAGAATATTATTACCGACAAAGACAAGGGAGACTGGAATGGTCATTTCTGGCTTATTAACCGTCATCAGCCAGGTCGCGAGTTCGAACCCCAGGTGTTCCACACTTCGGGGTTGGGTATGACTGGCTGACGACGGCTTATAAGCCAGAAATGGCCATTCCAGTGTCCCTAGTCCATGTTGGTAATAACATACTGCTTATATCATGCGCCACTGTGCGGCTACTGGTTGGGCTCAAGAGAGAGCCCGTAAGGCACAACGGAACGAGTTCCGTAAGAACGCTCGGTGAGCGCCCCCTACCATTATATACATACTTTTTGAAAAGAGATGGGTTCTTTGGGACAAGACGGTTTATTGCGTAAATTTTCGACGCTGGTTCCCCAGGTCGTCGTCAGACGCAAACGGAAAGCAAATGTGAAAGCAAAAAAACAGCTAACGTCACGAGTGCACGTAAAATCGACACTTGTATGGCGTGTGCGCCGGTTGGCGGTCGCCGTGTGTCAGCCTGAGCTGGTTGGCCCTTCAGGTTTCTGTACACGGCATCCAACTCGATACGCCGGTTGATGCATGATTCATCAGAGTGCATCTCCTCTAGGAATTCTTGGCCTTTCTTGAAAGGGCAGACAGCGACAATGCGAGCTTTATCCCAAGTGAAAGTGTGCCCGGTGTCCAGAGTATTCATGACTACCTGAGACAGAGGGTCTAGCCTCTTTACTGCCAACTGGTGCTCGTGGATGCGTGTTGAGGCGGATTTCCCAGTCTGGCCACATAATACGGCAGCACATGTATCACACGGGATCTTGTAGACGACCTCTTTCTTGTTCAGCTGGTTAACCCTATCCTAACAAGAAAGAGGTCGTCTACAAGATCCCATGTGAGGAAGGGAGGAGTGGCGTGCCTGCGAGATCATGCATGTCCAGGCACGCATTAGCTGTTGTTGTTCTTAAGGCGGGCGCCAGTCAGTCCACCTCGATCGAAGACCTCCGTAGTGGACATCTAGGTCAACATGGTGGTTAATTCTGTCCGCACCGGAGTGCCAAGCTTCGAGGAATTCCCGTGCCTGTTTGGTGTTAGCCATGGCAACCACTTCAGTACCGTCCCAAGTGGAACGGTGGTCACAATCAAGAGACTGTGCAAACACGAGCGACAAGGGGTCGCGTCGGCGGATAGTTAGCTTATGTGTATTAATACGAGTCCCAAGTTTTCGATTTGTGTGACCAATATAGACGCAACGGCAGTTAGCGCACGAGATACGGTAAATGACGTTAATTTGCTGTTCTTTGGGTATGGGATCCTTTGCCGGGGATAATGCTGCGCGCAAGGACGCCGGCTGACGACGGGTTGGTGCAACCAGCTCGGAAATATGCGAGTAGGTCTTTTTTCCGACAGACTTCCTCCTTTCATCAAATCATCTCGGAATGCATACTACTTCAGTTATTCAATATATGCATGTATAAAGAGGCAATCGTGATCAAATGTACTAGCTCATACCCAATAATGCAGTGATAATTCAGAAGAAGCAGATTTTCGAACGACGAAGTGGGGGAAAAGACCCCGATATCACAAGATTCCTGAGAACGACGGAGTGTTGAAGAGGGAGTTGGCAGATCTGGCTGCGACGCTGCTTTTGTGCTGGCATTCAACCCAGTATCCAATAAGAGACTATCTGACTCCGAAGCATCATTGATACTGCAACTCTCTGGGGAAAGGTCGGGCTGATTCCTGAGAAAGGGGAGACTGAGGGACCTGAAGTAGTAGAACTGGGTTCCCCATTTGGCGCGATAGACCGAAGACAAGACGAAATGGCGCATGGTATCGCCGCCTTCGGGACTGAGCTTACTGGTGGTCGAGACTTGCTGATTTGCACCGGAACAGACGCGTCGGCGGTCACCCGTCTGTCCGTCGGTGTCAAATTCAGTCTTCGCGAGGGCATCACTAGCAGACAAGTGATTAGCACGCCAACGATCCGCCTCTGAAAATGCTGCAAAAAATCAATAAAGTATGTGAGATAAAAAGTCATTTTCGGGAATAAAATCCGGCAAATGGGAAACTCGTAGGTTGGGCAAAGAGGCCGTTTGACGACTCTGAAGCCCTTAGGTCACATATGGAGACAGGGCCAAAATGCCCTAATATCCATTGGTTCTACGTTTTGGCGGAACGAAACTGTATCTTTGATGGAGTGCGATGAGTTGGCGACATTGAATTGCGAAAATACATGAAATTGGTCTGTGAGAGGGATGGAAAACCAGTCACTCCCTTTACGACGCAGGAGTGAAAATACGACTAACACATATATTTAATAACATTCTCAAAGGACAAACATTTTCGTTGCCAACTGGGTACTTAGCGTAGTGATAACATGCTAACAGACAATAAGTCCGGGTAGATAATCAAAGACGTGAGTCGAAATGGAACTAGGTTCAACAATGCGTCACACGCGGCAAAATTTGTAGCCGAAGGTGAGAATGAGTCTTGGAAGGTAGCATAGGCAAGTCATTCACAGGCTCCGTTCAAGCAGGTTAAAATAGAGAGGTTATGGAACACTTCGGAGTACATAAAAAGTGCCGACTGTTGACGGTTTTTTAGTAAGAAAAAAACCTGCTGGAGAAGTAACCTCAAAGATACGTCCAATGGCAAATACCCTAACACGGTAAGATCTCATACTTTTATTGTAAAAAACAGATATTGTAGCCAGCTGAACTGTGGCTACAAACTGGAAAAATCTGGTGGCATACCTTCGTTCAGGTGTTGGTTCCAAACGTCTAGATCCTCATTATGAACATAATCACCCCAACGCGTGTCAACAAAGTTGGAAATTCCCTCAGATAAAGATGAGTTCGGGGAGAAATGTCTAGAAGAAACGGAAAGAAGCACTCGGCCATTGTGAAAAGTTGGGGGAAAATAAGTGCTAACTGTGTGAAAGTGTCTCTAGGTGTCAGCACAAAACGTTAGTCGCAGTTTCTCTAGGCATCTGATTCATGACATTATATCAAAAACCACTAAAGACCATCAAGGAAACCACTGAAGGAGGCAGCATAAAAGTAAAAACAGTTCCGAAAATAGGGCCCCGCGCTCTGGAAGGAGTGAATGACCGCCAATAGAATGCAATTTAGCGCAGCTACCCACAGCAGTGTAGAGGCTTTCCACCTGTTCGTTCGGCGTCATATCAGGTGGCTTCCGGCAACACTTGATTGTCTCTGAAAGATTACTTACAGCATCCGCCTAAAGCTCACACCAGGTCAACTTTTTTGTCCACAGTTAGACCAATTACAGATTTATATCATGAACTTTTCAGCCGGATGCAGGACAGAAAGCCTGGATGGCTACGTTATTTGGTAAAGGTTTAAATGCAGAGGTCGGCCCACAAGATCCCATTTCCGCATTCTGCCTTAGCCTCGCGGAAACCGAATACCAAGGGATAATAGAGTACTTTTAACCTGTGAAAACTGGGAATCTGTTGATATGAACTCCCGATGGCCCTTTAGGCCGAGGGCGACTATGTATCTGAGAGGCCAAGCAAGCTCGATTGCTCGAAACTCGCTCATGTACGATAAGAACATTCATTGTCCTTGATTGCGACGACATTTTTGAGTCCTCCGGAAGTATGTAACAGGTCTAGCCTTTGACGCCTCATATGGGCTGAAAATCTACGCGGTAATTCCAAAGGGATTTTTAGCCTAGTTTTCCCAACAACTTCGATGTGTAGAGCTCCAATTACCCATAGAAGCAACATCGAATACTTTACCGCGCAAATTTCAATGCCTACTATACACGGCCAGTGTAAGAGACAAGGCCAGCAAAAACGTTTGATTTTGATGCTGAGGATGGGGCAGTATTTGAAGCTTCTAAATCAATAGGCATTATTGTTGTTAGCAAAGATTGCAAGAAATCGACAGCGGGTCCGAGAACCTGCTAAGTCAATGAGGTGAATGTATCGAACCGATGAGATATCGTCAGGGTCTGGAATGAAGAACTGTAGCTGCAGTAAACCAAAAGCGAATGCCGTGGCAGTTTGGAGGTTTACTTAATTTTGCAAAATTGCTTCTTATTTTGTCAAAAGTAGCCCCTGCGTGTGCCCTTATGCATTCACTTTCCCTGCGAGGTTTAAAGTCGTTCATAATGCACACACAACGCACGCGAGGAAAGTAAACGTGAAGAATTCAAGAGTGTGTTTGCTAAATTTGTGAGGAAGAAAATGCGCCACGAGGTTCCTGGGGGTTTTTTTTAGCAGTAGTGCTGAAATCAAGACTACTTTCAAGGAAAGGTAAGCGAAGTCTTCGATAAAACAAGGGGAGGAAACTTACGCTTCGTGGAAAATAACTGATCCATTCCGGTCCATAAATGTTAATACAACATCGGAAAACCAGGACCGATCGCTAGGGACGGTGGCCAAGTCAACATCGGGAGGAACAAGTAACCGAAGGTAGTTTGAGGCCGCATTGCGTACCAGGACAGGCATATTCTTGACTAGTTTAAAGATCTCTGGCGTCCCTTCTTCGGGCTTGACCAAGCAATCCTTCGCAGGTGAAGGTACAGCCAAGCCCTTGCCGTTAGGCCTTTCGAAAAAGGACAGTTCATGGGAACGGATACAAGGGGTGGAAGGAACCGGCACTTCTGCAGCTGAATGCATGTCCAGAGAATGGCGTTTCTGACGACTTCTCCGACGGATCTCTAACGCTCTACCTTCCGATATTCGCTCGACTATAGTGGGAAAAGTAGACAATACTTGCAATTATTGGAGATCTTCAACGAGGTTACCGAAGACTAAATGCGACAGCATCATATGGGATATAAGACGTCTATCGGCAACAGAACTCAAACTTTGGCAGAAATCATGCATAACGTTTGGAAGACATTTTGTAGACGAAACTTGGGGCTTCACAGGTGGGAGATAAAAAAACACAAGTCCAGACGAAACCAGACCTAGCAAACAAGTGGGTGAACAAATCTACTGATGCAGCTGATGAATTCTAAGGGAGCCGAAATGGGTGTCAATCTCGACTTCTGAAAAAAGAAATGACTTCCCTGACTTTTGTGCTACGAGACTGGTGGCAAATCTCTCGAGTCAAAGAGCAATTTCTGTTCTTTTAAGTCGAACAGCCTGCAAAACAGCCGAGTCCAAAATTAAATGAAGCATCGGACAAACCAGAGACAGACGTTCTTGATCATTTGTAAAATCGTCACAAAATCAGTTACATGACTGAGGTGGGAGGAAATGAAGGTTCCGTTAGAGCAATAACTTTGTAGAGGTGCATGCGATTGCCTGCGAGCACAGATATTTACAGCCGGATGGCATTGACTCTTTACTCTACGAAACATGTTCCACTGTTCACATCTTTAAAAGGTGAAAGCAGTCCGTCTGGATGGTAGCTTGTTAAATGAACTCCACTCGCCAATTCAGAAGACTTGCTACGCCCCGTAGCCGTCCAATAATAAAATTGAACAGGACGCAGTATAGGCGAAACCCGGTGGTCTGACGACTGACGTAGGTTGAGCGACAGGAAAGGGTGGACGCGCTAGAAGTCAACACCGGGTGCAGTTTTGACAGTAACGAGACAAAAGACTGAACAGGGTCATCAAAAAAAGAACCATAGAACTTGCGACACGAACCGAGCTGAACCATTCGCTACGGACGCGGTCATAAAGAAAAATATCATTTTGCAGCGTCTGCAATCAGTATCGTGTAGACTGTAGTCATCCAAGGACCAGGACTGTGCACGAAAGATACGCCACTTAAACGCAAAGGTTGACTACATGCCAATTAAATACAACCATTTTGTGACATACAATTTAAGCTACGACTATGTTGGACCAGAGGCGCCAAAATTATGCCTGACGCTCACTATCTTTGAGGTCATCCTAGAACCTTGTGACTGTCAGATGAAAACTGTAAATGCGCGATTTTTTTAAAGAATACAAACCCACAAAGTCGTAATTCAATTAGCTCAGAATCGTAGTCTGAAGAAACATGAAGCTCGACAACGCAGAGCCAATCCGCCCTGCCCAAAGTTGAGACCACAAAAGTACTAAACTAAGTTTGCTGTCTGATGCGCCGTATAGATTGATTAAAGACTGGCTAAGTTAAGTCCAGGGACGACACTTAAAGTCCAATTTTTGCATGCTATTCGGTGGAAAACACCTGGCCAAGATGACTGTCCACCCAGAAGAAAGAAAGGTGCTACAGTGGAGAAGCCGGGGAGAAATCTTCATGCAATCGCAAACTGCAAGTTTACCCCGCTCAAATCTTTAAGCACGACGGTACCTAAAATTTGATGATACGCGACAAGGTAAAAAAGTTGTTGAGACTCAATAAAAGTAAGTGTTAGGCGACATCCTACAATATACCTGTGGACTCATCGTGAAATCACTACGACTGTGGAGATTCCGGTGCACCCGGTAAAAACCGAGAAAGTCCTTGTCTATGGCTGTGAATGCCGAGCTGCGTGAGTTAAGATCAGAGAACATATTCTAAATTCATCTGGGAACAGCCGCCTAAGCTAGGAATACAGACATCGTCTTGAATGAGACATTGTTCTGCGACAACCTCTGCAGGGTAATCCAGGCTATTCAGACAACACGCCTGAGGTTGTTTCATGGGTTCTTTGTCGCCTGTCCAATGCGTCCGACACAATTCGCTAAATACAATGCTCTTACCGTTCTGGAGATAACGAAGAGGTCAGGTGGACAGATGACACGATAAGGCTAACCGAGATAATGAAGACGATGGTCTTAGTCAATGGAGGACAGTGCTTCGAACTCCCCCGACTTGACGGCAATAGTTACGCACAGAGGGGTATTATGGTCCATGTGTTCACAGTCGTACTAAGTACAGGCATTGCGGATTAGGTATGCGTCAATTAGGATGAGATCACAAACCACCACAGCAAAGAAAACAGATACCCACCTCGCCACGTCTCGAAACCAAAGGCTCGATTATGAGAGGAATCACTCTCGGTAACTACCGTAAACACAGGAGTTAAGGTGTGGGGAAAATTAGACGTACAACCACACGTCTACGGTCGATTTTTTTTTCTGATAGCTTTATCAAAATCACGATAGGTCACCGAACTCTAAAGTACGCTCTGGTACAACAAACAAACGATAAAACAAAGACAAGGGGGTGGCCATTGAATTAAAAACATACCAATAGCCATTGCAAGCAGTTAAGCGCGTTAAAAACAGAATGGTTCTGCTTGCCCTTAAAGTATTTAAAGTGACAAATACTTATCAGGGGCATTGATGACCTTTAAGAGGTTAGGCAGGATCACAAGAAATGTCTTAAAAATAGAAAAACCAAACAGTGACTGCTAATGATAAGACTCGCCGTTCACATGTGATACAACAACCTATATGTATTTCACTTATTTTAAGGGCGAGTTAAGCGTGAAAAATAAGAATAAGGAGGGAACACATACCATTTGCAGTTACACACAACGACAAAGAAGTCCGGGAGAAGTTCAAATTTAGCGCCCCTCGTCGTATATTGACATACTTAAATGCGTGTGCCTGTGGAGGGCTGCAGTGTCTGAATCACTTTATCTGGGACTTTTTCGCTAAAATTGTGGCAAATTTATTTTCTTTGTCTGTCTTATTTTTCGAATTCACAGGCAAATGCGAGTTTGGAGCATTCTCAAGTTCAGCTACTTTCGCAAGGCAGTGGAATATCAAGACGTGAAGACCAAGTTGCTAAAGAAGTTTGTTATTCCGTCAACTCATCAGTTCAGTTCAGTTTATTGAGGGAAATAGGCGTAAGCCTTTGAGTACCCTATCCATGATTTCAATTAACTCCCTGAACACAATTTATTTGGTAAAGAGATTGCAAAGACTCATCACATGTCTGAAGATGCGACCTATTTGCTGAATCCGCGCAACGAACGTGAGGAATGCAATGTAAACAGGGCTTTGCGTTGCGAAAAAGATCGAACGCTTATTTGAGCCCATGACGTCAACTTCATCTGCGGATTTAAAGCCGGCTATATACCTTGGACCTTTCCCACTGGATTTAGCACCGCTTTGATACTTAAGCAACCCAATAAAATGTTTAAAAATCTCTTGAACCGGAAGAATAACCAAGCAAACATGCAATATATAGACAATTAAGCAAATTGCTGGTAAAATAGCAAGTGCTGATTACATATTCGAATATTTTTAATAGGGCGAATCGTTTGTGATTCCGAAACAACCGTGGCCATCAAAAATCTACACGCCACCGAAATAAATACAGAACCACCAATAAATTAAAGCTTTTTACGAGTGGAAGTTTGTTCATTAACACATTTATTCTTCTCCTTTGTGGACGACGAGCTCCGTAGCACATCCATGCATCCAGCCATCATGTTCATATCTGAATATGTAGATATTCATGATTATTTTAGGTCTAGATATATTGTCGCATTCATTATCATCATCATCATCATCATCATCATCATCATCATCATCATCATCATCATCATCATCATCATCATCACCATCATCATCATCATCATCATCATCAGCAGCAGCAGCAGCAGCAGCAGCAGCATCATCATCATCGTTCAAGACTAAAAACCACTACGTCGATGGAGAAAACTACACGGGCCTCAACGGCCGTCCCTGGGCAGCTAAATTCAGTTAGCAGCGGACTGACGACCAAAGTTCCCGAGTCGGGCACGACTACAATGCGCAATGAGCGGTGAAATTGAATAAATCTGCACCAGCAGGGACGACAACCACATTAATCTGATCGTGATGGTGGGAAATTTTTCGAAATCTCGGTATTGGAGTAATTTTTATGAACTATGCCTTCCTTATTTTTCGTCCTTTTCAAGGTTACCTATCTCAGGTCGGGTGTGGCTCGCTGACGTCGACCGATAAGCCAGAAATCGTCATCCTAGTCTTCGTTTTATCCGTAAATATTCTTCCTGTGCATACATTACTTGTCGCTGAGTCATTGCCTACGGGTTCTGGGTCGTTCTCTCGAACACAATAGGACAAATACTTTGCTTAACGCGACTGGTGAGCGCCTTCTATCATAGTTAATGTCCCACTCGCTGCCGACAGGGTAACGAACCTCTGCTCAGTGGTTAAGACTTTAAACTTCTAACCAACAGAACGTGGGTTCGAGCCTTTGGGGTTTTCCGACCCTGGGGCTCGGTATGACCTGTCAGTTATGTCTAATAACTCAGAAATAGCAGTTGCATCACCATTGTCATTGTCTGTATTGGTAATCTTCCTATCTATACGTGTAATAGTAAGGAGGCGCTCGTCTGTGAGGTTACGTAGCGTGCTTGCCCCTTGTGCCTTAAGGTTTAAATGTAACCCCCTAAGCAGACGCGTGGGGATTAGGCGTATAGATAGAAAAGATGGGAAAAGTGCTCTGGTGCAGTTATCCCACTCTCCACCATTCATTTCGTCTGATAACGAATCGGAAACTCGCGAGTACAACTCTATTTTCTGGCGGGACTTCTCTTTGTACACGCATATATGTAATGGTCGACGTCGATCACACATTGCGTCATACGACATACTCGTCCGGCATTGTGCTTTGAAGCTCAATCACGAACCCCACCAGCAGCCGCACAGCGGCCAGTAGTACAGGGAGGATAACGCTACCGACAAAGAAACGAGGGAGACCGCAGTGGCCATATCTGGCCTATTAACCGTGATCAGCCGGCCATGCCCAGCCCCGGGTTTTGCAAACCCTGAGACTCGCTTTAGCAGCCTGTTGATTAGACGTACAACACCGTGATCACTGAGCCACGTTCTAGCTGTGCCGTCGGTCATGCACACGGCTAGTACACTCTAGGGATAGAGTTGACTACCCTGATAGAAAAGGTGTTGTCCGCGAGAACCCATGTATCAGTTGTGGTGCCGTTTATGGTGACCAAACTGGGAGATCTGTCTAGCTCTTATGCATAAAAGTCAGTTAGCGTTGAGGATACGAGATCATCTATGTCAGGTATCCATACACACACTGGAAACTGGACAAATATTTACACGGTGAACACTCGCAATGTTGGCGCCTGCCCAACCAGGAAGTCTTTGAATTCTTGGAGGAAATGCACTCAGATGAGACGTGCATTACGTTATCTGTATGCAAGCCGAAGTCCGCAGATGCAAAATTGATTGTCGGGATAGCCAAGTAAGAAAACCACCGTCTCTATCCTCTGCTCAATCTCGCAGACTGCCCCACTGACTTTGCTCACTTTGGTGGCCTGGAATGTCCGTTATCTATAAGACAACCAGCGAGGTAACCAAGCGAAAAGGAGGACGGCGTTTATCCACCGACAATCGGCATGCTAGAGTGTGGACATGGTTAATAATACATTTTTATTAAAGGCCCGTCAGGGTCTATCAAATTAAGTAAAAATAAATTTACACATAAATTTAAGACGAGGTAGGCAGAATCTGTACAAAATGCAAATCATAGTTTCTGAATTTGTAGTCCGTTTCACGCAGCGAACCTCCCTTCTCCAAAGAAGGCTAACTAGGGAGGGGAGGAGGGGGAAACCACCGAATATTCTTCTGGAGCGGTCGCCAAAAGACAGAACGACGTCATGTTAGTGCGCCCACGCAATCAGAAACGACATCGCGGGACAACTGCCCTATTTGCTACAGAGCACCGACGACTGTCCAATGTTCCCACGTCCGCCTCTTTGGGTGTGAAACCCGCCGCCGCTGGAGCCCATGCTCCTCCAATGACTGGTTAAAAGAACAGGAGGAACGAGCGCTACAAATACCTGCATGCCTGATGTTGGCAGTGTTAAAGACGGAAAACTGACTGATAGTAAAATAGTGACTTTCGAAAGCCTTCCTCGAATCAATGTAGAAAGCATGCACAGTGCTTCTTTCGTCGAATATTTTGTCCATCTTTGCATCGGGTTAGGCAAGTTTGTTACATTCAATCGTCTCTTACGAAGTTGGTTTGAAATTTTCGACCTCGGGGGATTTCACTTTTATCGGGATTTCTATCTACTGGGTGTTAAGAATCCGATTCGTCTGTGCAACTGATCTATCCTTGGAAACCTACACCAGGACTTGTGAGGGATAACCTATCTTCGTCCAGTCGCCTCTCTGCAACAGCACTAAGAAATCCCCAAAACCTACGAAAGGCTGAGTCGTTTACCTCATATCTTTGATCTGGTTGAAAATTCGTCTCATACCTTTAAGAAAACCGTTTGAAACTTGTAAACTCAGTTATGTTATTCAGAGATGTCCTCCAAATACGGTGTGAAATGTTCGCCCCAGGCGGGAGTCGAACCCGGGCAGCCGCGCGGTCAGAAAACCGGCATTACCACTAAGCCATTGGCTCGCGCCAGTATGGTTAAAACAAATGATACATCATGTATTACGCATGATATTAATGAATGCAGTGTTGGTCGTTCTGCTGTCAGACCAATGCCCTTAAAACGAGCTAAAAGTCTAGTGACGTTGGGGGATGTCACATACGACGGTGAAATCTGTACCACATGTTTCGGACTCATCCATAAATTTTCGAAAATGGAGGGGGAGTTGATAAGTCTCAAAATGAAGGTAGGAAAGTTAAGGAAGCTTACTCACCACTAACGCAAGGAGATTAAGTCGACGAATTCGGCAATCAAGAATCCGAAAATAACATATGCAAGCACGGCTTCTTTAGCAATATCAAGCGCTGAAACTGACGACGTTTCGTCCAGGGAACTAGACACATTTAAATGTCAGTCCCTTAGGCGAGAAAAACACCAGCCAAAGCGAACTCAGAAAACAAAGAAACATCCCAGAAAAACAACGCGCACCTCTGTACGGTCTAAAAAACGAAGGCCGCTTGCGTACACGCAGACCAGCGGAGGAGGACGACCAGGAGGCCTACGAAGGACCGCCGGAGGCTCCCAACTATGCTGAACAATAAACATATCGGAATACCTTGTGAACCGAATATTCAGGAGGAGGCTTCGAAAGAAACTGAGGTAAGCTTTTTCGACGAACACCCCGGAAACACAGAAGGAAGGGTTATCAGCACTAAGATAAATGAATCGTACACGGATCTCAGTTTTGCTAGCCCAAAAGCTAGTTCATCTGAAGCCAGCGAAACAAGTTAACTGGAGAAGAACGCTCAGTCACTCAAAAGATGGGCGACAACAACGAGCACTAGATTCAGTCGCAAGCAAAATGTATTTGTAAAAGGAGTACCCGAATTAACGGCAAAAATTCCAAAGCAGAGAGTTATGCATGACTTAGACCTTGGTCAAGTGTATGCGAAAGCTTTGTTAAGAGATGATGAGTCACTTAATGTTCTCAAAGCATTCTGAATAGGGATGAGTGAGTCAGCATCCGGTTCCAATTCCCAGTCATTTTGGAGACTGAAGCACAGGTCCAGCTCCTGTTTCAGAGAAAATCATCTCTGCGGGGTCAGCATCCTGAAGTTATTTTTCAGCCGGATTACGAGCCAAAAGAGCGAATGAAAATGAGAGAGCTGATGACGGAGCTGAAAAAGCGGAGAAACAGCGGCGAAACACACCTACAAATCAAAAACGGACAAATAATTCAGGTCAAAAGGACATTTCTCTGACCGGAAGCCTTCATTCTGACAGCCTAACCGATGCAAAGGTGCCAACTCCTGAGGCTGCTCGCACCAGTGGCCGCTATCTAGAAATCTATTACACTAACTGTCAGAGTCTCCCCAACAAGCTAGATGAACTCAGATTACTTGTCTCTCAACAGAAGCCACACATAATTGTCCTAACAGAGACATGGTTGACTGAGGAAATTAGTAGAAGCGAAGTCAGTATTGAAGGCTACCAACTGTTTCGTTGTGACAGATTTCAGCGTAGAGGAGGAGGCAGAGCGATTTATGCGTCAAATGAAATTCCGTGCTGTCAGCGATAAATATCCGATGGGGCGCCCCGAAATTTTGAAATAACTTAATGCAAGATAAGTATCAAACAATTACCGACACTGAACCTGTGTGTTGTCTATCGGCCTCCTAGCTCGAATAAAATCGCGATATGGAATTACTTAGTGCACTGGAGTTGCTATGTAAGCAGGAGAACTTACTTCTTCTAGGTGACTTCAACGCTCCAGGAAAAGACTGGAACATTCCCCTAACAAGCGCCCCGTCCACGTCAATTGACCACAAGCTACTAGAACTCTCCCCGAACGAATACCTCATTCAACACATAAAATTCGGAACAAAAGTGAGAAAAGGACACAGATCTAACTGTTTAAATCTCGATTTTAGTAAAGAAGAAGGACTCATGATGGAAGTGATTCCCCAACCTTCACTCGGTTTAAGCGATCATATTGCTTTTACCTGCATGCGCTCTCTCCTATCCAACCAACAACCAAAAATCAAGACGCGGAGATATATTTGGAAGGGTGACTTTAACGCAATGAGACGCACTCTTTTGGAGGAAACCTGGTTGGTCAACACAGAAGATTCCGACGAATTCTGGCGGTACTTTCGCGGGATTATAGAGCGTCTAATTGATTCCCATTGTCCAATCAAAATAACAAGACCATGTGCGCGACCGCCGTGGGTCAATCCGACGCCAAAAAAACCATGAAGAAGAAACAGAGACTCAGGAAAATGTATTTGCAAATTCGAGATCCAAGGTCATTCGCCGAATATAAGGTTCAGAGCAATAAGTGCCGCAAACAAATACGGGTGGCTATAACTTCTTTCGAGCGTCGACTGATAGCAGAATCCATTACATATCCCAAGAAGTTTTACGGGTACATCCGCAGTAGGAGGAAACATAGGGACGAAATTGCGTGTCTAAAGGATAGCCTCGGAAACTTATTAGTTGGAGGGCCACGGAAAGTACGATTACTGTCTCAGTTTTTTCAATCGGTTTTTACGGGGTAGTCCTCAGAAGACAATCAGCAGTTTGGAATGGACCGAGACAGCCGGGAGCTTCGAATGCGCCAAGATATTGCCGTCAGTGAAACCGTCGCCTTTTCCGTCGAAGAAGTCAGACGCGTCCTCAGTTAAATAAAACCTGATAAGTCTCCTGGACCCGACGGAATTCCCGGACTAATACTTAAGGTGCTATCAACGGAGCTGTCAAAGCCTCTTTCGACTCTCTTTGAGCCGTCAATCAGAACAAGAAGGCTGCCCTCATCGTGGAAGACAGCTAACCTCGTTCGCTAACATAAGCGAGGTAGCAGGATGACAGCAAACAACTTCAGGCCCATTAGCTTAATTTGCTTCCCATTCAAAGCGATGGAAGGTCTAGTAAGGAGCGCTATACAGCAGTTTTGTGAAGAAAATAACATCTTACAGGATTTTCAACATGGCTTCCGGGGAGGACGTTCCTGCCTCTCAAATCTGCTAGCTTGTCTGGAGATCTGGACCAGAGCTGTAGAAGAGGGTTTTGAAATCGATTTGGTGTACATCGATTTCCGCAAAGTTTTCGATACCGTTCCGCATTAACGTCTTCTTCACAAATTGGACGCCATCGGCATCCGGGAAGATCTTCTGAATTGGATTATGTCGCTTCTGGTTGCTCGGATACAACGTGTCTGCATCGAAGTTGATATGTCAGAATGGGTGAACGTGACCAATCGTGTGCTTCAGGGCTCAGTTCTGGGACCATCGCTCTTCATCCTTTATGTTAACGACAGCCTTCAGGAACTCGACTGCGGCAAAATAATGTTTGCCGACGACGTTAAGCTCTGGAAAGTCATTAACGGACCGAATGATCAGAGATCCATTCAAGATAATGTGCACCGACTGCAAGCGCGGTCGCAGAAATGGCTTCTAGATTTCAACGTGGAGGAGTGTGCCGTCCTTCATCTGCGTCCAACCAACTCTCATTCAAATAAGGGCCTGAGGACATATCACCTAAAAGATATAAGGCTCCCTGTAGAATCTTCACAGAAGGATCTCGGGGTTTTGATACAGGGCAATCTGAAACCAACACTGCAGTGCCACAAGGCTGCAAAAAACGCCATGGGAGTGCTGCATGCAATCAAAAGGGCTTTCGTTAACTTTGACCAAGACCTTTTGGGAGAGTTTACGGCACATTTGTTCGGCCCCACTTAGAATATGGAATGCAAGCGCGGCGGCCATGACTATTAAATGACCATGCATGTCTCAGACGGGTACAACGGCGTGCAACAAAACTGGTAAACGGTCTAAAAAGCCGAACCTACACAGACAGACTTAATTATCTTAATTTATTCCCTCTGTGTTACAGGCAGCAAAGAGGTGATTTTATCCTCGTCTACAAGATAATACATGGCCTTGAGTATGGACTTAAATTTGAGGACATGTTTCAGTGGCACCTTTCACCCAATCTTCGTGGTCACTCGATGAAGTTACGGACAACAATGTCCAGGCTGAATCTTCGTTCTGAATTTTTCACACAGAGGGTAATGGAGAAATGGAACGATCTCCCTCAGTCAGTCGTGGAGGCTACATCCCTGCAACTCTTCAAGAAACGCTTGGATGATTATTTGTGTCCCCTGTTTTCCCTCGACAGTCTGAATCTGAACAAATACCCCACAACCCCGCAAATATTTTTGTCTGATACAATGCTACGCAAATGAATCAAGTACCGTTTTAATAGCGAATATTTTTATTGTTCATGTACGGTTATTTCTTACGAACTGACATGTAATCAATTGGGTTTTCAGAGGCTTTGCCTATTATCCTTTCCAAATAAACGGAAAATAAACTGAATAATATGAAAGCGTTCTATGCACTGGAAAAGAGATTCTAAGTTTTCACATGTCCACAAAATATTACACAACCTGGACTCGAACCTAGAACCTCCTGCACCAATCAGCAGGGTCATTTCCACGTCCTTACGAGGTCACGATCCAGAACCGATCAAAACAAGCCGCTAAACACGAAACAGCAGCTGAGGACTATTTTTAAAACATTCGCAGTATACTGCGAAAAAAACTACAGCGGGACCGCTGAACTCCAAGGGGATTAAGGGTAGGCTATTCCAGGCGACACAACAGAAATTAAAGGCCACCGTACTGTCATCGGACAATGAGGACCCCATGAATAAAGTGACAAAGCCCATGTCACCCCGTCGCTATATGCGCTGAGGGGACCTAAACAAGCGAGTCAAAATACTAGAAGATAACCAAGACCTACTGACATCATGCCGGCTTTTCTAGAGCACAAAAAGATCAAATCCCTAAAAAAATCAGTCAGCACTCCAACCGGCAAGCGACAGATATACTACAAGGGAAAGCATTGCCCTGAGAAACGCGTGGTCGGCCAGGAAGAGGAAACGACTTATGTCACCAGAGCGAACTCCTGACAAGCCGGTTTCACAAAATAATGGGGCCGTTCGCGCTACGGCAACAAAAATCAGTCGAACTTAGCTTCTCGCTGTTGTGGCTAAACCTACCATACCCTCGAACGTCAAAAATGGAAAAACCAGAATGAACCCCCGCACGATCTGTTGGAAATTACAAGATGAGGCCGTTCTTAATTCTGGAGGATGCCGATGTCTTAATATTTGATCGCAAGACTAAATCATCTGGGAATTTTCTTCAACAGTCCGTTTGTTGAGGCAGGAAAACTAACTCGGTATACAGCAAATTACAGCAGGTCAATGACTCTGACAGCTCACAGGTTTAAGCTACCATGATGCACAAATTTGGGCTTCATAACCCCAATTTCGGACAAAAATCAGTCCAATGTCAATATGTAACCATTCATGAGAGGTACCTCACTGACGGGATATGGTCCTAGAAAGGACGAGGAGTTTAAGGTCTCGTCCGTAAATCGCAAGCGAAATATCGTTATAAATGCTGTTCCATAACAAATCTCGAAGGAACGGGTAACGCACGAACTAGATCTTCCTCAGGAATAAGCGAATGCTGTCCTGAAGGGCGGAGAAATTCTTGTCGTAGAAAAAGCTTTGTGACAAGGAAAAACGAACCCAGGCCATGACCTGAGAACATTCCATGACCGCGAAAACTTATTTTAGAAAACAAACGCCAGGCAACGCTTCCGTTAGAAGGAATAATGGCCTTACGAAGCTCGCACGAAGGACTGTTTTCTTTTGGGCAGTACTGCGAACTGACGGAAAAACTCAAAATGGGAGAATTTATGACAAAATTAAGGGAGAGGAGTGGCAGATAAGAGGAAGGGTTGAAAGTCGAAAATGGCTAAATAATCCACAGTAAACGATCATTCCTCTGGGCGTAACCCGCCACAATGAGGAATAGGCCTTCCGGATGAAACAGTCATTGAAGATCATCTCCGGAAATGCAGGAAGACTGTACAGAAAAGCGGAAGAACTTGGAAACTTAATAAGTGCAATCAAACCAGGCGTCATGGCTTTGACAAAAACATACCTTTCTGAAAATTTTGCAGATCCCGAAATATCATTCAGGGGATACCAACACTCCAGAAGAGAGAGAGAGAGAGTCCAGGCCGAGCAGGAGGATTTATAGTTTATAGCACTTGCACGCTAATCACTACGGCCGAGGTACATAGTTCGGTTGGGAAAGTGGAACTGTTAAGCATTAATATGCGCGTTAACTATGGCCGCCCGCTAATGTTCTTGGTGGCGTACCGTCCACCTAACCAGACTTCTGACCACGATCGCTTTCGTTACAGAGGAGGAGTGTGGACCTCAACTATCGTCTCAGAAGCCACATAATTACAAACTGCCCCAAATGGATAACTCTTGGAAGAATGGAAGTGTGCGTTCGTAACCATGGCTTACAAAGTAGGTCTACGACTTGACAGCGAAAATTATCGTCCTGGTGGCCCAATCTCATCGCATGTAAAATGATGGAATTATTAACAAAAGTCTTTTAATGGAATATCTGGAAGAAAGCAAAATGTGTATTGATGTCCAGCACTGATTTCGTCAAGGACGCTCTTGCATCACGAGTGTTCCTTGTTCACCCGAGAAATGGATAAGGGCCACACATAGGGACCATCCAGGAGATATCATATTTTTGACTTCTAGAAAGCCTTGAATAACGTACTACACAGAGTACTTTTATAGTAATTCGACGCAGAATGTTTAAATCGATCGAGAATTTCCTGTTCTCCAGAGTGCAGGGATTTTTTGATAATTTTACTTCGGGATAGGCTAAAAAGGATAGTGGTGTACCATAGGCTTCCGTTTTAGGCCCACTACTCTTACTGACTTATGTAAATGATTACACCAGCGAACTGACTTGGAAAGCCCTAATGCTCGCGGATGAACGACAAATATGAGTGAAATCAGCGGTGCCGATGACGTAGTGAAGTTACAATTGAGCGTCAACAACTTGAGTGTTTGGTCGAACAGAGAGTTTTACAATTCAATGGTTCCAAATGAGTGGCCTTATACCGGAATATTGGCCAAAACGTCCCTTCAAAACATCGGTATTATATTAACGGGATTGACATAGAAGTTGTAGAAAACCACAGAGATCTGGGTACGTGGACGACCACAAATTTAATGTCATCCGAGTACTATAAGACGATGGTCCAGTAGTTAATTGGTGCATTACATTGGACTAGGCATGTGCGTAAGAGGCCGTTGGAAGAGCCCGTTTGTGCACAACCGTTCAAAATCCTTAGACTCGAGATAAGTTGAAATTCATTTATAACTGAAATATTTGACATATTTCTCTGTCGATTTTGCGTCGATTTTTATTAGCTGTCGAAAATAACACATAAATCTATTACACTCTCCCCATTTAACC